ATAATTAGTGTTTAAAAATCTAAGAAACAAACAATATGACAATCATTCAAAACGCTAAACTCAAACATACATAAATGCTCAACTGTGACACAATTAGTATAAAAACCGTAAGATTCTCAAGCACAGCTGTTCACACGAAGGGCTCCTGAACTAAGCGCCCTCCAATTAAGACTAGCTCCAAGTACCTTGAGCCACTGTTTTTGAAACCATACGAATTACTTTTTTATTCTTCTTACTTTGTTCAGTTTCTCCTTGAATTAACTAACATTAACATTTATAGTATACAGACTGTGTTCTTTGTTAAATTGTTGTAGACGCGTTGTCTATTGACACAATGTCGACTTCCGACGTATGCTAACCAGATATTAATGCACTAGCTTTCAAATTGCTTTCCAGATTCTTCTTCTAGAAATGGGTTTAGCCCATATTACAATGGACCTAATATCATAACAACCTTAAAGTCATAATACACTTAGGGCCGATTTTTCAATGCTCAGTTAAATTTTAACTGAGGAATTACTTTCAATATTGGACAATTCTTCCGTACGTATGGAAGAATAACTGTCAATTTTATTCCATAGTTAAGAATTAACTAATGATTGAAAAATCGGCCCTAAACCGGCACTTCATAACGTCAATTTGAAAAATCTATAAGCAAGTAGATGTGCGCTTGCAACCTACTTGTATACTTCTAGAGCACAAAACGACGTATCGGAGCCTTCCTTCTTAAGTACGAAGTACCGTTAGTATGAATTTAATCCTCCTTAATTCGAGCGTACGGCGCGTCGCGTTCCGCGCGCGCCTCAAACAGCCATCAGACCACCACAGATGGGGCCCAACAGGGCCGATGCCGATTCAGAGTCGCGGAGAACCTAACGGTTTACCGGGGCTCCGGTTCGACGTGCAGGAGAAGGAACGGGGTGGTTTTTATTCAGTAAGAGTCTGACACTCCCTCCCGCCTCACCCAGGTGGGAGCAGTCATTTGATGATTTTACCCCCTTAAAAAATCCTCCCTAATTAAAACTAAGTGAAATCGTTTACAGTGTCTCAAAAAATCAACAATTCAATATTGTGTCTCATCCAAGCTTCAAACATACAACCTTATGTTACCACAAATAAGGAAGTTACAATCAAAAAATAAAACTCACCATAGATGAAGGAAACGTTACAAAATGAATTGTAAGTAAACAGATCACGATCTCAATTGGACCTCAGGTAGTCATGCTCAACCAGCATAAAATTTAATGTACCATGAATACGTACTGACCTACGTGACATAATATAACGTTGTACCTGCTTTTTCTTTAAGAAATAAAATCTTTTTCTATGGTTGGGTAATCTCCTTTGATTGTTATAATAACTAGTTCATTGTGTCATATTAGGCACAAATCTAGACGACATATTTTAACCTACATTTCCCCTATACTTACTATACTCTTTGACTTACATTTAAAAATCCAGCACTATTTAATAACATAACATAACATCACGCCTTTTATCCCCGAAGGGGTAGGCAGAGGTGCACATTATGCCTCTGTACAATATAACACCCACTTTTCACTATTTATGTTATGAGTCCCATGTAATAGGGGGTGAGCCTATTGCCATATACCGTGCACAATTCCAGCCTCCGTGCTACTACTGAGATTTTTTTTAAAAACTCGGTAATACTTTGCCCGACCCGGGAATCGAATCCGAGACCCTTGCCCGGCAGTCGCACTTGCGACCACTCGGCCAACGAGGCAGAAATTTGAACCTTGGCAAACCATATGTAAATGCAAAAAGAACCCGAACAACTCTATTAAAACAAAAGACAATCCAATCAAAAGAAAAAACGGGTACAGAAAAAACGAAGAAAATCAGCAAACAGTTCGTGCGTCGGAATTCACTTAGCGTTCCGAAATTCATGTCGAGGTATCACTAAATAATTTGAACGCTATTGCAACACGATACGGCATATATTCCACGTTCCCTGACCCAAATACTAGGTATTCAAGTATTAAAGCTAGGGCTGTACCGTCCGAGACGATTGCATTGTTTAATAATTGAGACTACGTTCCGACGAAGCGTTGTATGGCCCAAGTAAAATACTTTCGCGAGGGAATTTATTACACGTCGTAAATACTGCTTTCATTTCGTATGCATTTGTTTGGAATTACGATGTTCCGTTTTGGAGAAGCATGGTGATTACATTTGAATTTAATTATTTTACGAAATCGAGATAACCTCGACCTCTTTTTGATAGAGAATAGAGATTTGTGATTATTAGATATTAACCTACTGAATTAAAGCAATGAAAATCTCGTCTTATATTTTCGTAGTAAAAGTAAACATTATACTTAATACGACTTAATAATACTTCGCCTTTAATAAATAATTTGAGAGGGATTTCTAAGTTGATATCAATTTCGTCGGTTTTCGATTTCGTCACTCTCAGTGCCCAAAGGCAGCCTGAAGACACATAACAAGTTTATTATATGCGACTCATACCACAACTGAGAACAAGTGGCTGAATGTTAACTTTTACTATGATCATACCTTTGAACAAATACACCGCCCAATATCACGAAGTAAATTATTTTTATTCCTTCTTCGAGTAAAATCGCTGTCGTCTTGTAACTTGGTCCACATGTAACAATTTTACAGGTTTCCGCTCGATTCTATCGAAGATCTCCTCTCGTAAAGAAGAGGTGTTATGGTTATTATCTCTTTAACCTGTTTACTATTTCATGAAGATACTCCTTTTGTAATACCAACTCTTTTCTCTCCACCTATTAAGTCTTGTCTCTGATCTTTTATTTTATTTTCGTACATATCGTTTGTGTAATGTTGTTTTGACAATTCTTTTTCGGTTTGTTTCGACCTAAGTTCATTTATTGGTTGTATCAGTTATTTAGTTATCTTTCTTTCACCTTTTTGGATGTAAGAAATAAGCTGCTTGATTATTATAAAAATGTCGGGGTTGTGTGATTTTTCTAAAATTCTCAGTAATAGTACGAGGTCTTTTTTTAATGGGGGAAAAATCATAGAATGACTTCTTCCACCTTGAGTAAGGGAGAGGGAATATCACACACTTACTGATTAAAATCCACCCCGTTCCTACTCCTGGTCTTTCGAGCCGGAGCCCCGGTAACCCGTTAAGTCTTCGGCGGCTCCTGGGCCTCGCTACTGTGGTGGTATGATGGGTCATTCAGATGCGCGCAGAACTCCACGCTCCATGTAGCACGAAGTCTAGCACTAAGCTCACCGTCTATTACATAGGACTCTTTCATCATCAACAGCTTATAAATGCCCACTGCTGAGCAAAGCCTCTTCACACATGGAGAAGGTTAGAGCATTAATCACCACGCTTGCTCAATGCGGGTTGGCGATTTCAAACTTATAATTAGAAATTATAAGCTCAGGTTTCCTCACGATGTTTTCCTTCACCGTTGGTTAGTGGTGTCTAAATAATCTTAGAAAGTACATATAACTCGGAAAAAGTCACATTGGTACTTGCCGTTGGTAGGTTTCGAACCTGCACCCTCGAGCATGAAAAGCAGGCGTCTTCAACCTCCGGGCCACCACGACATGGCAGGACCATGACAGGACTCTTTGTTATTATGTAACTATTTGCAAATGGATATTATATTACACCCACCTCTGCCTTCCCTTCAGGGATTGTAAGGCATGATGTTGGGTTTTCGTTTAAATAGCAGCTAAATTTTTATGAAAAAAAATTACAATAAACATTTTGTCCAAATAATATCATATTTATTTTGGACATGGGTCTATAATTCCAAGAATATACAAATCTAAATAATAATGTTCTACGTTATTTTCATTTTAGAACTATCCCACAATTAATATCCCTATTTCTAATAGTTAAGGGTTTAAATAAACAACACACACATTTCCAAATGTTTACTTTTAATTTCAAAATTTTCAAATCACTACTTAATTTTCTTATCTAAACAATACAGTATCTATTTGGTTCATTAATATTTATTTATATACAGCTAATCATGTTTTTCAAACATACTTTTTAGTATTTATAAGCTTTCCTAATTAATTTTTAAACATTTTCAGTGGTATAATAAGACAATAAACCTGTTTTAGCTATTAAATGTTTTAATTTTTTTATATATATGCATATGATGGACCAACACTTAGCAACTCTCTCGCCTGGTAGCAAAGCAATGATGCGGCCTATGATGGAGCATATCTGCCCATAAGCAACCTATTCACTCCGGTCTTGATTAACTTCTACGGCTTACTAAAGTAACAGTTTGACGAAGTTACTCGATCAATTGCGAATCATATACACATGAGTAGTTTTCTTAACCATCGACTTATTTCTACGTGCGTATGGGACCCTGGAGTTGTTTGAAATTGGTTGAGTGGCTTTGAAAAACAGTGATGTAACTAAGCCATACAATCTTATTAATTGAAGATGACTCACGAAAATCATATTGTGTTTATTTATTTATTTATTTCACACAGACAGTGTGTAAGTTGACACTAAAGAAAAGTAGCATTACAAAAGAGATTTGACAAACCAGTATATAGCTAAAATAGGTTCATTGGTCATTTATGTATAATACAGAGGGTCAGCTAATGTGTGTATTGAAAACCGTTCATGTTCTTAAAAATAAATATCCTCGCAGAAAGGCTATGAAGAAATCTAGTAAAAATATTATATGTACTGAAAAATAAAAAAAAAACAATAGAGTTGTTTAATTTAAACAAGAACCATTCTTTCACATAATATCAAACATTGAATTTGAATAGACGTCAAACACTGAAATTCAAAGGTGAACAGAACAAAACATAAAGAAAATTAACAATTATAACCAAACAATCAAAATACAATACAAGTTCTTTTTAAATCTTCAAAGAAACAATGATGACGTAAACGAAAGCAAATTCAAATATTCTCTCAAAACAACTCTATAAAGGTCTACAAAAATCTTTCTCTATTCAAACTCAACGATTGTTTCACATTCCTTTATACTTTCCCTTCAGTTCGCAAAACACCGTCTCTCGACTACTGTAGAACAATCAATCCTACCCATTTCCCTGAATATCCTCGACAAATTGACCAACATGTTCACGTCATTATTCCTACACAACCATAAGTTCAATATATTCTCCGTGGGCGAACAAGTATTCGTGAAATAATAATAGAAAAAGCAAACATTCAATTTCTCAGCCAACAGTCTCCAGTCGTTCCCTTTCACTGACTGAGAATCCAATAGTTTGCACAGTATCACTCTATCCGACTTGGTCAACACATTAGTCCGGTAATTATTGTCAACGCTAAAATAGCTCCTAATGCTGTGATTCTTATACACAAAGTCGTACCTTCCCTCCTTCTTACTCAGCGAGGAATAATTGAACGGGTTCTCTAATATATTAACAGTCTCTACACTCGCACAACTGAATCTCTTACTATTCATATTAAAATTCAAGTCGTTCGTCTTGAAATTGAAATTGACAGAATTCGATTGCTTCTGCTTCTGATAAATAGAAACGTTTAACTCTAAACAGTTTATTGAATCCGTTTGCTGCAACACAAATATATATTGCAGAGGTTTCATTGTCATATTCCACACTTGTGAATACGACAGTTCCTGGTATTTCCCTCCGGTATGTACCTTCCAACCAACTCCTACATCTCTAATGTTAATACATAAATCAGAACAATTCTGTTGAAAATATAATGTCTTTGGATCACAGAGTAAAGAGCCACCTAACTTCTTTTCACTTTCGAAACAGTCGTAGAAAGCGTAAGGCGTATCGTGAAACACATGAATCTTCAAACTATAGTAACTGTCGTCCAATCTTTTAGATATAAACAAAGCGACTTTATACAACTTCGCGTCTAGACCGCTGAAACTTCTCCCGACTAGAACAAAGTCGCTTAGAAATTCGCTCACTAGGTAAACTTTAGAAGGGTCGACTTGTGCGAACAGTGGGGTCCCGGGCGTTTCCTGGCCCAAAGTCAAAACTTTCCGCCACTCCCTCGAGTTGATTTCTTCGGGCCTTTGGAGGATGGATAGAAACCAGCTGGTGTTCTTCAAAGCTGCACAATGTGGAAAGGACAAAACCACACTCTTGCAAAAGTGAAAGTTTTTGGGTCCGCACCGTATAATGGGGCTTAGTTGAATTTCACCTACAAAATAGAAAATCTGTTCATACATGATTTATGTAACTACTGTCTAGTACAACAATAGTAACTAATAAATTATTACAATGGATATCAATGTAATACGGTAGTTCCTACAATGTCGGTCGGTCGCATTCCATAATAGATAGAACAGAACATTCGTAATCCCCGAATATCTAATAAGGTACTCATTTAACTATGTAACATATTTCGAGGCAATCAATCGTGACCCGGCTCCGAAATAACATCGGTAGGTAGCGAGGCGGACCAACTTATAGGTCAGAATAACCTGACATTTGAGATTTAGGTCAGACCACGGCTCAGTGTAATCCCTCAGTTCCAACTCTCAGAATGGCCAAGTTTAATATTAAACACAAGTTTCTTACGCGGGCTTTATTTGTTGCAGGTGTTGAACTGAGTTCAGAGCTGCTTCTCTGAGTTTGGGATTTAACATGTTTGTAGTTGACTGTTTGTACAAACAAGTAAAAGTACTTTCGGATTTCGTTTTGAGCGTTTAACTTTGATTCCGTAATCTTCAAAGTCAAAGTAAAAGAAATCTTCGCGTCGCATTTCTAACATGTTTTATAATGTTCACCCTCAGTTAAATTCACCTTCGATGTAAACTGAAAGCTATTTAAAACCTAATCTAAATCTAGCGATCCGATCTCGATTCCTATCCAGGTCAATAGGCCTAAACTTAAATTGAATTTACCTTCTTGCAGCAGCGGCCTATTCCAATCGTCGTCTGCGACCTCAATCGAGAATAACTCTTCTCCCTTTTCCACCACTCCATCGGGAACGAATAGGCTTACTCCACATTTATTAAGATTCAACCAATCACCGTCTGGTGTAACTATTTTTGAAGTAGCTACTTCTAATTGCTTAGCAAAGAACTTTGAGTCTACTGATGCATTATTTATCAACGACGGTGTCATCTCTACACTTTCATTACCATACGATGAGCCGGCTGGAAGAAATGTTTTATAAACTTTAATGATACTAGTACCTAAAGTTTTAGTAGAGCAAACAGAAGCTAAGAGGCATTTGATTGTGAAAGTGGGGGCTAAAACAAAAATGATCTTAAAGTCATAGCTGTAAAGTTTAAATTATCAATTGTTATTGCAACATAAATTAAACTAATATGCAATCTGGTGCCTCGCGAAGGTGCATAGAATAACTCACAGCTCAAAAAGCAACTGGAGTCAGATCGGTCTGACTCGACGCTGTCCTTGCAAGCGTAATTCCTTTCGCTTCCATTTCTGTCATTTCTTACCTCGTGGTCTATGGGTGTGATGTAGCTGCAAATAAAAGACTTATTAAATCATATTAATAATTATAGTATCTTGACAATATAGAACCGCGTGTTGCCTATATTTGTACGAAAGGACCTTTATAGTTTTACAAATTAATTTTAAGAGTAACTTTGGATTATTTTTACCTATATTTGTATTGTAACTTTCGTGAGACATAATAATTTAATAAACCTACTCAAAACCTACTTAGTAAAAGAAGTTGAACTCAATTATTTCAATTTAAACTTCAAATATGCTTCAACACCATGCATACCACAAAAATACTTAAACTATTTCAACAACTCAAGTAAAGAAGCATATCAAAGAAATATTCTAAGAAATTCATACTTCCCATTTACTTTATATCACAAACTAAGTGTTCGTTCTCTATATTGTCCGAGTGCATCCCCTAGGCAACCAATTAGTTGGCTAATTGCGTCTCTAAGGACCAACTTGGTCCTTTCATCTTTTAACCGTAATCCTTAGTTAAAACTGAGGATTAATGTTAGATTATATCATAAATGATCTAGTAGTTTTTAACTGTTGATGTTTTATATTTCTATAGAAGACTTGTAATTCGACGTATTCCTCTCGGGAGGTGATAATACAACTAATTTCTTACAAAATTAACCTCGTTGTCCGAATGGTCGCAAGTACAACTGCCGGGCAAAGGGTCTTGGGTTTGATGCCCGGGTCGGGCAAAGTATTATTGAATTTTTTCAAAACATCTCAGTAGTAGCATGGAGTCTGAAAATGTGTCCGGTTTTGTAATAGGCTCACCCTCTATAACATGAGACTTATAACATAAAATACTTTAAAGTGGGCGTTACATTGTACAGTGGCATTAAATGCCGTAATGTGCACCTCTGCCTACCCCTTCGTGGCTAAAAGACGTGAAGTTATGTATATAAAAAAAAAATATTTTACCTGTTAGCTAGCTGTGGTACTTCGTACAGATGTTCATGGCGTGTGTTAGTAGATGTGCTCATATGTCTGTGTGTCCTTCGAGAATCAATAGTTTGGAACTCCTCGTGTATAGTTAAGTCCGGCTGATTGGTTAGTGTCCTCTTTATTACGTTACCGAAGTAATTCGAACCTGTATTGGAGATTGTATTCGATGTAAGATCTTTTTTTGCTAAAGGAAAATTATTATGTTCTCATTTCATCTTTTGTCTTTAAGTAATATAATATTTTTCCTTAATGTTAGTACAATGTGACTAAAAAAACGTTTATTATGTTGCTGTAAGTTTATTTTCGTACAATTAAATGAAACTGGAATTAAAATAATGATTGCAATAAGGATTTTCTAACCTAATTACAGATAGAGCCTTAGGAGAATGCTTCAGCAGTGAAACGTTATCAATAATTAATGGACACATATAGGTACTAAGACTGCTTTGTTGGCCGAGTGGTTGCAGGGGCAAGGGATTTCGGGTACAATTAGAGATTTTTCATAAATTTTCAGTAGTAAATAGTGCTATTTACTACTGATTCCGTGCGGAATCTGGCATGTGCCCGGCTCACTCCCTATTGCATGGGACTCATAACATATACAGTGAAAAGTGGGTTACATTCTACAGTGGCATTCAGTGCCGTAATGTGCACCTCTGCCTTTCTTTTTGGGGATAAAAAGGCTTTTTGTTATGTTACGTTACACATAATAATCCAGAACTGTGACAATATATATTTTATAGTACAAAAATGCAATGATCAATGTTCAATGATTTTTTTTGTGGTATAAGCCGGTAAACGAGCAGATGGATAACCTGATGGTAAGCTTTTGGGGATTAGGAGTTCGAGGATCGTTGGGGATTATAGGGAATATAGTACAATTCCACGTATAGAACCATTTAAACTTAATTCGAAAAAACGTTACATACCTGAAGGTGGTTTCACATACGGCGAACTGTTGTTAATTTTAAACTTAATATACTTTATTCCCAGTAAAACAACCACTATGAATATCAGGAGAGCTATCGATAACGCAACCAAGAGAGGCCAATATGATCCTGTAAATAATACTTTTATTAATATGAAAGAAAAGTGCTGTAAAATAATGGCTAAGTAGTTTATTTACTCTATGAACTCGAAACATTAATATAATATTTATTTCTTTATGTATAATATTTGTATCTTTCTTGTGTGCGTTAAAGATAACTCTTTAACGCACACAAAAATAAGATATTTGCGGAGTTAATGTCTTATGGCATTTTCTCCCAGTCAACCTTTGGGTTAAGTAGAAAATCAGCGAAAATGTCTATTAAAGTTTACAGAATAACATTCTTTCAGAATCGATCTGTCAAATGCTAATATATTTTTTACAAACCCATTGATTCTCTTTTTGAAATGCTTGAAGCATTCAAACAGACAACAAATCATTATGTTCAATTATATTAATATTGTTATTAATCTGATTTTAATATGAAAATAATATATTTTTTGTAAAAATGTAATAAATTAGATTATATTGTATAATTCTGAAAACAGTTTCATAATTATATTGCCGTGCCTTGACTGGGTTTCATGTTCAAACTACCTCTACCCAATTGGGTGGTGACATAATTATGTAACACCTATTGTACACATTTTATATTTTAAAAGACTTCTCAATTTTACACATTGCATTAATTACTACATTGACTGACAAAAATATATTCCCTCTATCAAAAGGACAAAAGCTTACCATTATCAAGATCACTCTTAGAAGTCCTAACACACAGATTGCACTGTGCCACCTGATAGTCTATTCCTCTGCAGGCGTTGATAGACAAACATCGTCTCCTTCTTGTTCTAAGACAATCCAAGTCGCATCTAGACCATTCCGACCATTGGGACCAACGACCTACGAAAACAAAAATATAAAAAAATAAAGATGGAAGATCGTCGAATCTATGTTACTATTATATAGTATTTGTATTTACATATAATGTAAATGTAAAAGATAAGCTATATAATACTAAATGTGTACATACAATGACATCAAAACAAAATAAAAGTAACTATCGAAAAATGCATCATGTCAATAAAGAAAGTACCTACTCAGGTAGAGAAAGCTGGTAGCAAAAAAAAAAGAAAACGCAAGTCAAATATTTTGAAAATCAACCCTTTTGATCACAAAAGGTACAATCGAAGGTACAGCAAAGCAATAAAAAACAATAGCATTTTATAAACACACAGATATTAACAAAAACATATACGGATTATAAAAAAATAAAAACAAAAACACTAAAAGTAGGCGAAATCTCTAAGGAACAATAGAAAATGGTTATAGCCCACCTAATAACAAATCCGGTGATTCATCAGCCAACTCATCTAGTTCATCTAGACGTAAGAAAAACAATTATTATTCAACTCCCATCCATTATTCTATATGAGTCACACAAGCATAGTTAATTAAAGCGTTGTATGTTCATTACTTGAAATATTATTTTTAATTATTTACCAACGAGATTTCATTTCTTTTTTGTTTTAGAAACAAAAGCACCGTAAATTTACTTGTAACAAACTTGTTTCTGAAGACCACATCAGAATTGATTTAACCAATCGCGAAAAACTTCTTTTTTGTCCAATAAATGATTTAAAGTAGTAACTTATTACTGAGAATTAAAAGCAGAATAAATTTTATACCCCGTTATTGATTAGACAATTAGTTTAATGTTATTCACATTATTTCCTCCTTTTTACTATATCACTATATAATCTACAATCCACATACCTATTTCACAATCCAAACAATCCTGTGTCTTCTGTACATTAGGACCCATACACGGTTGTCCTCCGTTCAAAGGTCTAGGTGCCGTACAAGTCCTCTCCCTCTTCCTCCCTGAATGGGCTTCCCTTCCCTGCTCATCACAATAGCAGTCGATCCAAGCTGACCATGCGCTCCAACCACCATTAACTACAAGAATGGTCATAATTGGTCCTAATTTCCGCAGATTCTAAGGTCTAGCAATATTATAGTACAACATCACGTCTTACAGTCCCTAAAAGGCAAATGAAAGTAACAAAAATTTGGTAAAGGTACTTTTCGTTGGTTTTTATTTGGGTCTTTATAGTTTTGCATTACTAACAATGGGAATTGTTATTCCCGAAATTGATGACTTTTGGGTCACCCAAATTGCTGACCACATGCAGCCATATTATGAGTTCTGGTTACTAGTCGTCCGAACGTAGCAACCAAAAAATGACTTCTTATGTATTTTTTATTTATGGAAATACAAAACCTCTACCAAAAATAGGAGACCTAAAAAAAATGGCGTCAACTTGGTAACAAAACAAAAAAAAACAAAGTAACGTAGTTGAAATTTGTACGTACCGAACACAGTCAGCAAGGCTGGTTCAGACATCCGTTTTCCCGCTAAATTTTCAGCGACACATGTGTAGTTCGCCATGTCCTGAAAATTGTTTCACAATTGAAATCTGTCCGAGTCCAGTGCCCGTTAAATTCACTACTTTATTTACTCGTTTCAGGAAGTTTCATGAAATTGACGTGACTTCATTGTAACTCGTATACTTTGTAAACCTTTTTAAAATAAACACAGAAGCCTTTATAACTCCTTTTTATTATATAATCATCTCTCAGTACGCAGGCAAGCAATATCGTTACAGAGATTCGACAGATTGGGGAATCATATACAGATCCCTGTTACAATTTAGAATTTGTCGTTAGAAATAAAGCAGCATTAAAGAAAACCAATTCAGAAATAAAAAACAACAACCTGTTTTAAGTTACCAATAAAACTAACCAACAAACAACCTGTATAACATATTCTTAAGTTAACTATAAAACTGTATTCTATTCACATTACATTAACTCTAATTAAACTTACCAACAACGAAGCTTGCTTAATAAATAGATCTCTGTCTTTAGAGACGTGCACATTTTCATCTTCGACAACGGGAGCTCCGTTCTTGAGCCAGTAGATTTGAACGAAAGGGGCCGCTGGTGGAGGCTCGCAGCGGAACGTTACTGATGTATACTGTTTCACAACTTGAGATTGTGGGGCCAGAGCGAAATGTTTCTTTATATCTAAAATTAATAATGATGTTATACACTGACCCATTTTTCAAGCTTATCCAAGTGTTCATTGCTATATCTCAAATTGAATTTATTTGGTTCTGTGTTACTACTAAGATTTTATTATGAAAATTATAGATTGACACTATTGGACCAGGAATTTGATACCTAGATTTTCGCATATGGCAATTATTATTAATTTTATATAGATTTTGATAAACTAATGGGCTAAATCATAAGTTGTGTCGTGGTCCTGTGGTACGACTTTTGTGTGTCAGTCTGTACTCAAAAGATAACGACCAAAATTAGTAGGATAAATAAATATACATTCAATATACATTGGTATAAGGTGTATTATTTTAAGAAACAATTTATTACTCAAACTGTTACAAACACGTAGCTCTCTGTAACTTCTGAACATACAAAGGTTCCTAAATAATCAATAGTTGGCAACTAGCCAAAATATTAACTTTGCTTTTGGGTATCGACTCTAAAGACTGTATCAAAGTAAGTATTTTCGTAAAGAAAAAGGTCAAAGTCTTATACATACTCCATTGTTCTTTTTCGTTGTAATGAGTAAAGGTTGTGACAGTCTATGAATAGGTCATATAGTCCAGTAAGTTAAAAAATAACATTAGTTCACATACATGTAATCAAGTCAACCTAAACTCTTCCTTTTCCACACGATGATGGACAATTCTTTTTAAATTACAAAGTGCCTGTATAATGTGTTTTTTTTATATATTTGATGGGACGACGTTTGACCACTATCTCGCCTGGTGGGAAACGATGATGCGGTCTAAGATGGACGACGTAGATGGACGTCACACGTCGACCCATAAGCAACCTATTCACTCAGGCCTTGAAGACACCCAAGTTCTACCCTTCAGAAAATACAGAGACTGACAAAGAAGTCCACTCTTTAGCAAATTAAAAAATTGTTAGTTTAGTTTAGTTTTAAATCAATATTTTGACACTGTAACGGAAAACATATTATGACAGTGTACTTACACGCCAGTTCGATAGTAGCAGGTTGACTCCGTATGTGCCCACGGCTGGTCCAAGCAAAACAAGTGCATTGGTACTTGTCACTCCCAAAGTACTCCTCAACATTCTCCCTCGTCACTTTACACTCTCCCTCAATTATCCTCACTCCAGTTTGAGGGTCAACGAACTCGAAATTTAGTGCTTGAGTTTGTATGCCATTGCATTTGAAAAATACCTTTGAGTGGAAAATATTTTTTTTATTATACATATGGTAAAGGAAAAATTTTCGCGATTTATACTTCTTATAATATTGTACTACTTCTTAAAATGAACGTGCAATCATAAATACCAAGAGTGATTTACAAGACAATGAACACAGCCATTTAGAAAACTAAAGACCTGTTTCCAATCGATAAAACTTTGAGATTCCTTATTACCACCATAAAGTCATGGTATGATAAGTTTGACAATTGAACTCAAAAATATGAGGACAAACAATACATTTAAAAAATCTCCGAGAATTCAACATAACGTTACGACACAAAAACTAACGAATCTCCTCAAAAATATAATGCCACATGATACAAAAAATCTATCGTCAAGTATAGTATAGTATACTAAAACACAATTCACAATTACTTACTTTTAAAGCGTTAGCAGCTCGACATTTTAACGTGGCAGGTTTATTTTTGACAACATAAGTATTTTCTGGCTCCAATAAGAAAATAGGCAAATTATCTTTGCAGTGTGCAGTGGTATTTTATCATCTACAACTGGAACATCATGTGTGTCTGCCCGAACTGTTGCCAAGTCCGGTGAGTCTTTATAATTTGATTCCTTTATCTCATAATCGTAATCTAAATATGCTGCTTCATCATCATCTTCCTCGTCTCATTGTCATCAGACGTGAACACAGGAGGTAAGAAGTAGTCTCTCTCCTGAATAGTCTGATGATTTGTTATCATTTCTTCTGGTTTTTCATTATTAAGATCCTTTTTTATTACCGTATCATCTGTTCGATGGTTTGATCTATAAGGAAACGGTAATATTTTTGGGAATTGTGTAGATAGCTGATTTTTCAATCATTGATTTCAATAAAAATAACAGTTCTAATACATCATACAATTATAATTAACTCAATGATTATAAAATCAATTAATAAACCTTTGACTGACTTTAATTCTTAGGTATTTTAAAAACACACCAATGTTTATCTAAAAATATGTATAAATTTATTTTTAAACGACATATAGCCAAACAACTTTGACCTAAAATTTTAAAATCGTAAACAAGATTGAATTTGCTTCCAATCTGGTTGATTTTTAGATCAAAACAAAAAAAGAATGTGTAGTTGTAATTATTAAAGAAATGTTTGGTTTATCTACCAATATTGTATCAATTTCATACACAAAAATATTAAAACCAATTAAACTAAAAAAATAATAACTTGTCACGACACAAAACAAAATCTATATTTCTAAAGTCAGTTAAAAGTTATCATTATAAACAAACGATCACAAACACGCATCATAAACACAAAATCGTAAAAATACTCACTTTTGGCAAAGTTGTCTGCTGTCACATAAAAAACCAATTGGAACTGTACTAAAATTACTATGAGCCAGATAAAAAAATTCACTTCCATTTATAAACTTATTTCTTTGCCGATTATTTAAAAAAACAATTGAAAAAACGCGGGCATCGCGTTCCATTACTGCTTCAAAAGTTTTACATTTTTTTATTCACTTTTTTTTTAAATAAATTTTGTCATCCATTCATTGGTCACTTTAGCACTATGAGTCTATACAGGCTGATGTCACTTCACTATTGTTTTAAGAAATATTAATCAGATTTACGGGTTACGTAAAAGTTTTCGAATTCGCGCGAACGGTTGGGTAGGTGTTAGCCCAGCGACAAACGACATACGACTGAGTTGAGGGATGAATGAAAGTAACTTCCACCCTGTATACGTTCAGTGCGCATGTCTATTGCGAAGTTGTAACGGAACTTTGTGCTGATATATGTTTATTAAGATATTCATAATTATAAATGATATTATACATAACAAAATATAATAAAAATAAATAAAATGCCTCTTTGATCGAGTGGTCTCCGAGTGGTAGCAAGACTCTTTGCAAGTCTCAGGTTCAATTTAGATACGGGCAAAATGGCGAAATTAATGCGGTTTTCGATTTTTCGAGAATTTCTCAGTACTAAGATAATGTCTGTAATTATGCCTCGTGGACAAGAGCCTTACCCCCGACCTATTGACAAAAATAAAGTATGCAAAGTAATTTTAAACCATTTATTTATAATACAGTACAGTATACATCAAGCGACGCACATTCCTATTCCTTATTTGATGACAACTGATTTACTAAACAAATTAAAATACTACTTTTTATTTAACAACAACACTTTAACAGAATGATTCTAAACAAAAATTACTGTATAAATCTGAAATATTTTATTCTGATTTTCAAACTCACTATCTAGAATATATTCCAGAGAACATTTGCTCTCTATGTGGAACATGAACAGCCGATTAGCATTGAATATAGGGAGGTCGAAATTCGACAACTTTGTTATTGATACCACTGCAGATGGACAAAAAAATAATCTTTAAAATATAATTAGGCATTAAAATCGTAATAATATACGTGAAAAGAGCAAGACGAAGAAGGAACATTTTGTCAGGAAGGAACATTACAACATATGGTCTTTTTTCTGGTACTGAACAAGATTTCAACTTTCTAGAACATTTGTGTTTTACTTAATAAATCTATCTTTATTATATATGTAAATATTCATGAAGACGTAATGAAATTAAAAAAATAAGAAGTGGTAAATATAGGTAGTAGTAAAGTAATGTTTTGGTTAATTTCCTCGAAACAGCCTTGTTAGTATGAGTAGCATTTTATTCCTATAGCTCACAATACTTACTATATTTAAAATTCTGTATAAAATTAATAATACAAATATTGATAAAAAGGTAAAGAACCTTCTCCTGTGTCTTTTACTTACCTTAGTTATTAACTAAAAATCGCGTGTTTCTCACGTAAAAATACTCAGAAAAGCTCTATTAGTTTCGAACCACAGAGGGGTCCTTCGCATAAGCAGCGTTTAGTGTGTCTCACGATAGTTATTATAAAAACATACCTTAGTTATACCTAGAACTTACTTACTTTTTTATTATGGCATAAGCCGGTAAACGAGCAGACGGATCACCTGATGGTAAGCAATCGGCGTCGCCCATGGACACCTGGGACAGTGGCGTTACAAGTGCGTTACCGGCCTTTTAGGGATTGGGAGTTTGAGGATCGTTGGGGATTCAGGGATTGGGGAGATTGGGGAAGGGTAATTCAGCCTCCGGTAACCTCACTCACACAACGAAACGCAACTTTACTTGTGTTGGATTTTTTAACAATAATAAAACCAAAGCATTGAAAAACCACTGTATTGGCAAAAGAATAAGTTTATTTTAAAAAATCATTGTTAATTATAAAATGTGCCCACAAACAGTTGTTCCTTATTGGCTGACACGATGAAGTAAAATGGATAATTAGCGTTAACTATTATAGCATTTGGTCCCAGAGGCGAACTTCCAAGGCCAAATAACACTGAAAAATGTTAAAATTATGGTCACCCTTTCACATAACTTGGAACATAATTAAAAATACGAATTGCCTACGACTGCCTCGTTGGCCGAGTGGTCGCAAGTGCGACTGCCGGGCAGGGGGTCTCGGGTTCGATTCCCGGGTCGGGCAAAGTATTACTGGGTTTTTAAAAATCTCAGTAGTAGCACGGAGTCTGAAAGTGTGCCCTGTATATGGCAATAAGCTCACCCCCTATTACAAGGGACTCATAACATACATAGTGAAAAGTGGGCGTTACATTGTACAGTGGCATTAAGTGCCGTAATGTGCACCTCTGCCTACCCCTTCGGGGATAAAAAGGCATGATATTATGTTATGTTATGTTATGTTATGTAAATTGCCTAATGCTGCACTGCACGGTTGGTGCGGTGGCTGCGTAACCGGCTACCCCGTAACGTGTAGCGGTCGCGCACGGAGCAAATCTTTGCGTAATCCACTAATTGTTGTTTCGGGTCTAGGTGTCATGTATATGTGAACTGGTATGTTTATGAATGCACCCACGATACAGGAGAAAATCCTAATGTGGTGTAACGTTATAAAAATAAACATTGCAAAAGGGCCTCGAATGATGCCCAAGAGCCCCAGTGTAGTCTTAGACGGTCCTGTTTTTTTTGTGAGAGGGAACATCATCCAATGGCTTCTCCCGCCCGGGTGAGGCGAGAGGGAGTGTCAGACTCTTACTGACTAAAAACCACCCCGTTCCTACTCCCTGCACTTCGAGCCGGAGCCCCGGCAACCCGTTAAGTCTTCCTCAGCTCCGTATCGGAGTCTTAGATAATTATATCAGGTCCTGGATAATTATATTTTGTCTGATAAGTGAGAATTATGTCTACGATAACACAACATAAACATTACGCCTTTTATACTCGAAGGGGTAGGCAGAGGTGCACATTATGCCACTGTATCTACAATGTAACACCCACTTTTCACTATTTATGTTATGAGTCCCATGTAATAGGGGGTGAGTCTATTGCCATATGTTGAAATGTTGGTGCAATGTAAATGCATTTTAGTAAGTTGGCAACGCTGTTGTCATAAGTCTATTAAAAAGAATGATTTGAATTTTTTCTGTTCTGTTCTCGAAGGGTCTGTTGACTGTTGACACCACTGTTAACATAAAAGTTATTTTCTAATAAAACAGTTTCTAAAAGGTATTCATTTTTATTTACAACACCATATACCGGGCACAATTCCAGACTCCGTGCTACTACTGAGAATTTTTTCTACGATCTGGTTTCGAAAATAATATAAAACAAAAGGAGAGGCTTTAAATTATGTACAGACATACTTGTGTATTAAACTACACTACTCTGTCATAACACGAATCATAATATATAATAACTATAGAAAACAAAAGTATGTACCTATTTATATACCTCTAAGAAAAAATTGAAGATCTATCAAAATGTACAATTTCAATAGTTTTTTGACAAGCTACTTTATTTTCGTGGGATGATCATTATGCGGAGGCACAGGAGTGCTCGCCAAGATGAATTATTGTTGTTTAGAATTCCAATCATGTGATAATCAAAAATTAAATCAAGGCGAATTAGAATTACAAAGTAAAAATATAGTAGTAGTTAAGAGTGTTATGAAGCTCAAAAATAAAATCACCAAAGGAATTTTAAACCATTTATTTATAATTTTACATAATAATAATACATATGTCAAGCGATACAAGAACTGACAACTGATTGGATAAACAAATAATGATGTCATTTAAAAATCAGTTGCTGTTAGTCAAAAAATATTCTATATCATCCAGAGTATATTCCAGAGAACAATTGCTCTTTATAAAATACTATGAGGAACATGAACGGCCGATCAGCATTGAGTATAGGAAGGTCCAATTTTGATAACAAGTGTACTTCCGCTACTGCAAATACGAATAGATAAATCCAACATCAGAAAATATACAACAAAACAAAATTCTTAAAAATCTAATTTTGCGATAAAATCGTAATATATTTTTGCGATAAGTGCGATGAAGTAGTTTTTCATAGACTAATTTTATTTTTTATTTATTTATTTCTTCTTCACAAAACATAACAGTGAATGGCGAGCTTAATGCCTTAATGTAACAACTAAACAAATATGATTGTCATGCAATAATAGTATATTATATAAGTACCATACATACAATAGGAAACCAGAAATAAGAGATAGTATATTAAATATTGAAAATGAATATTGAATATTGAAAATATGATGTGAGGTATATTAATTATTCCCATGATTCGGAAAAAGATGTCTGTGCAATAAACATAAAAAAAAATATCACTTTACTATAATATAATTATTTGTGTTATCGAAAAATGTGTTGACTGTTTAACTTGGCTCTCGTGTCACATTTATGTTTTTGCAAAAGGATAATTTAAATAGATATTTACCTACAAGTACGATTTAAAAATATGCAAGTGTGTTTTGTATGGAATAATTATATGTATGTAATATATATGCTAATAGTTAATATTAACTATTTTTCTTATTTCGACAATACAAAAGTTCACTTTGTGTTGTAAAAATATTGCTCAGTATAAATAGTTAACATTTGACATCATACGACATTTAAAATCAAAGGTTTTTTAAATTTTTGTTTGGTGCAAAGTAAGTAGGTAATTTTTAGTATTCTTAGTGATCTAAGTGGACTTTGTCGTGACAAATAAGCAGAATACATTTTTGTCTTTTATTTATTAACTCTTATTACTATGTATGAAGATTGTACCAAATCGAGATATAGAAAATCATGATGATCAGGATTCTCCTACTGGAAAATCCAGGTTTATAAATATACATCAATACTTTAATTTTTAAATTAAGAAAACAATGAAATTATTGAAAAAAGTTAGAAGAACCCAATTTTGCCATTGAAGTACTATTTTTTGTCTATCGCAAAATATACCAAATGAATTTACTACTTCAGTGAATTGTTACATAATATTAATAATTAAAACACAGGTATCGTTAAATGTAAACCAACATATTACCAAATATAATTCATTTGTTAGAATTCTGAAATGTGCCCACAAACAGTTGTTCCTTATTGGCTGTGACGATGAAGTAAAATGGATAATTTGCGCTAAATCTTGTTGGCAGAACACCAGTACTAGTTGCTATTATGATAGCTGAAAAACATTATAATAATATATTGAACCAGATTTTTTTATTTTCTAAATCAAAATATTTGTCACAAGTCAAAGAAACAAGCGTTGTTAGTTAATCAAATCAATAACTATTTGAATAGATACATATTACACCAGAAATTGATTCACTTTATATTTTTTCCTGAGTCTCAAAATTCGGGACTTAGAGATTGTAGGCTACCTTATGACTCGCGACAGATACACAACTGAAATAGTTTTCTCAAGGAAATATTTGTGTTATAAATATTTACGTAGGTATAGGAAAATAAAATTTCTTTATATTTTGTTTATTTTTATTTTCACAAATGTCTTGTCCGGAATATATTCCAGAGAACATTTGCTGTTTAAGATGCACTAAGTGGAACATATACGACCGATCAGCACGGAATATAGGAATGTCCAAATGGCTTATATATTCTATTTGTACTCCTGCAATCATGAATACATACTTAAATACAACGATAGATTACAAAAAAGTATTCTTAACATAAAACATTTTTGGAATATTTATCTTTTCTAGTCTAGGTCTAGCCCAATCATGTCTTGTATTTTTATGAGCAACAAACCCGTATTTCATAGTAGAAAAAACCTAACTTTCATAATTCGCGTGGGGAATGTGAAATTTATAGAGCCTGCATCCTACAATGGAGTCGGGGAGAACCTAACGGGTAACCGGGGCTCCGGCTCAACGTGCAGGAGAAGAAACGGGGTGGTTTTTAGTCAGTAAGAGTCTGACACTCCCTTCCGCCACCCCACCTCACTCATTCGATGATTTTCCCCCCTTAACTCGTCGAGTACCGGTTTTATAGACACAATTAAAGAACAATAGGTCGCGGTCACCGGTGACCGCTCGGTGTTTGACAGATTAAAAAGAATCCTACAGTGGAAGTATTCCGGCTAGTATTTTTTTATATATTTTTGATGGACCGACGTTTGACCACTATAACTATGAATTTACAGTTCATAACATTTCATTCCAAAAACAAAAGAAATCTTATTCTTAACCCCTCGAGCGTCCTTATGAGCACGCAGTGGATCATAAGAAAAAATGCTCCAAATGTCACCTGTGCACCCGTTGGATCATAAGGAACGCGGACGCTCGACGGGTTAATGATATATTTTTTATATACATAGGTATTATATTTTGAAGAAGATAATCTATTGTAAAAATAAAAATACAGTAAACTTTAACCGTTCATTTTATTTTGTGTTTTCGTTATTTTCCTTGATATGTTCCCGCAAACAACTGTTCTTTAATAGCAGTGACAAAAAATAAGAATGGATGGTCCGCTTTCAATTTCAATGGTACAACATACTTTATTGGTACTATATCTAGCCCTGAAAGCACATACTACAGTCAGGGTATTGTCTAATCAAACAGAACAAGTATTAAACAAAGAAATTATTGTGAGCACAAAATAATAAATAGAATAATATAAAACGACAAATGAAGAAAATACGATAGTTTCCTTAATTTTATTTCTTATGTCCGTCTGGTAGATTATTTTAAAACATTAGACACGTATTTTTTCTTTTCTTACAAAATTCAATACTTTCAGCGATATATTCATTTGAAATATCGTGTGACGTCACAGTGTGCCACATTTTGTAGCACGTTATGACGTAACAACCTCCCACTCCTAAACTTAGCGCCATTTGATCTAAGTATTACAACTTTATACGAGTAAATAAAAACAAGTGTCTAATATTTTTTCATTATCTAACTGACGGACTAATTAGATTTTTAATTTTGGTACCCTGAATACTACCCAATTCTAAGTAGTAGCACGAATTCTGGAATTGTGCCTGGTATATGGCAATAGGCTTACCCTCTATTACATGGAACTCGTAACATAAATAGTGAAAAGTGGGTGTTACATTGTACAGTAGCATGATGTGCACCTCTGCCCACCCCCCATCGAGGATAAAAGGCGTGATGTTATGTTATGACAAAAGAAGAGAAATATGTTGATACATACCTAAATAATAAATGACTACATTTTTTTAAACGTTGCCCGACACTATGATTTTCTCCTTTGTCGTGGGTGCAATTACAAACACAATATCACATACACATGCCACTCAGACCCGGAACAACAATTTTTGGATCTCACAAAGTGTTGTTCCGTGCGGGAATCGAACCTGGGACGCATTGCACGGTAGTCAGTAGCCCAGCCACCGCACCAACCGTGTCGTCAATTATGTACCTAACTTGGCTAGACACATGGCAGTCCCCTCGCTAAGTCGAGCATTAATAATATTTCAGCAGTAGTTATAGTACTGACTCATTGGCCGAGTGGTCGCAAGTACGACTGCCGGGTAAGGGGTATCGGGTTCGATTCCCGGGTCGGGCAAGTATACTGGGTTTTTAAAAGAACCAAAGTTGTAGTAGCTCGAAGTCTGAAATGTGCCCGGTATATGGTAATAGGCTCACCCCCTTTTACATGGGACTCATAACATAATATAGTGAAAAGTGGGTGTTACATTGTATGCATTAAGTGCCGTAATGTGCACCTCTACCTATCCCTTCGGGGATAAAAGGCGTGATGTTATGTATATTTTATGTAGTTATAGTATTATGCTAAATTATGCATTTTACCTAATGTCTACAATCTATGTATTAACCTTTTGACTGCCGGTATATAAGACACAATAGAAAATAGATCTGCTTTCCAAAACACGACGGGTTAATAGAATGATGTTTAGATTGAACCAAAAAGTTATTATGCCATGAGAAACTTAATCTATTAACATCTAGAGGTATTTTACATTGATTTGAAATATCGCATGACGTCATGTTTAAGTGCGTTTTACATAGTTTACTGTTTCTATTTGATGATTTGTTATAAAATGCTTATTAGTTTAATTCACTTAAGTATTTAATGCTCAAAGCCATTGTGTGTTAATTGTTAAACAAAACTATGATTATAAAGTTTCCTAATTTTTAAATGAATCAATTCCTATGATTATTTTCTTAGAGTGATTACTATAATTGTTAATGTTTATTGATGAACCTTGACGTTCGATAATCTCTGCCTACCTCCACGTCCATTCATTTCGACCTATCCCTCAACCGATGTTCGTACTTATAAAATAAATATGGCGTACGGCAAAATATTTACTGAAGAATTCCTACATACTATAAAGAAGATGACGATAAAATAATGAAAGTTATTTAACTCGTCGAGTACCGGTTTTATAGACACAATTAAAGAACAATAGGTCGCGGTCACCGGTGACCGCTTGGTGTTTGACAGTTTAAAGAACAATAGGTCGCGGTCACCGGTGACCGCGCGGTGTTTGACAGTTTAAACTGAAGTAGGCAAACAGAAATTTTGATCAAGTCAATGACGATTTCATACATTGTATACACATTATATTATTAGAGACATAAGAAAATTCAGCCATATTAATTTTACTACAGATTAGTATCAGCCACAAGCAGCAATAGTTAGTAAGAAGATATTTTTGAAAATCCCATGATTTAGTTCCTAGTACTCTAATCATTTCACATTTTTTTCATTCTACTACATTAAGTTTCGAGATTTTAGAATGTAAAAACAAGTAAATAACTCCTAGATTCTATTGCAAGACACTATGAGATATCTATTCAAGTTCTAAAGAATAAATAAATATCACTAAAATCAGCTAGGCCATTCTGGAACTATGAAATCGAGGAGTAAACTCGATCGCGTGCCGCCGGTTGTTAGAATAATCTCGACCAATGACGGGCGAGAATGCGATCGAACTCATTTCAAAAGTTCGAATAGAGAATAATGACGGGGTATGAAAATTAAAATCTAATTAGTCCGTTCAGTTAGGTAATAAAAAAATATAAGACACGTATTTTTTTATTTTATTGTATATTAAAATAGTCAAAGTCAAAATCATTTATTTCAATTAGGCCAGAATGGCACTTTTGAACGTCAACAAAAAAAAATAAAAGTGAAGCTATTTGCTCATTCCAAGGTGTACATTCCTATGGAGAAGAACTGGCAAGAAACTCCATAGGTTACTCTTTTCCAATCAGGTTCACAATACAATTTACTAGTTATATAGTTTTGCTGTTTGGATTGTGCGAGAACAATGTAACACTAAAATCCAGTCAAAGTGATCAAAAAAGAAAATAACCTCAAGGACAGTAATACAGTCTGGAGCTGACCAGTCCCAGTTGACGGCGCCCGTTCACGAACATGACACGTACACCAGCACCGCCCAACTCAACCATATTGTAGGGAATCGAGCGATCCACTGCACGCGCCACCGCCAATGAGACCTTTGAGTGAGCATGACAACTTCAAGCTGACGAAGAAGTTTAGTTTAGGAGTGGGGGCTAAAACGCCATTTCTACGTATAAAATGTAAGTACATAGAAGTGACGTCACACGACTTTTCAAATCAATACTCGACTGCACGTTTGGTGCGGTGGCTGGGCAAATGGCTGCCGCGCATCGTGTCGTGGGTTCGATTCCCGCACGGATCTATAGATTGTTGTTTCGGGTCTGGGTGTAATGTGTATGTGAACTTGTATGTTTGTAAACGCACTCACGACACAGGACAAAATCCTACTGTGGGGCAACGTTTCATTTTTAAAAAAAAAAAATTATCGTCAAAAGTATTCGTTTCTGTGAGAAAATAAAAAATACGTGTCTAATGTTTTAAGACAATCTACCAGACGGACATTGAAATAAAAATTAAGCTTCTACACTAATGTCAGTTACAGAATAACATAGCTGCTTCAGAAACTTAAAGTGTTCAGAATATATCAATATTCTTACCTGAAACAGCAGCTGCTTCAGTTCCCTTCTCATTTACTTCAATAACAGCTTTTTGTATGGCTTTAGAAATATGAACACTTTCGTTGTCAACTATACCGGTCAATTTTGATTTTCTGACGTCAAATAGTGAACGTAATCCGACCTGAAATTTTTGTATAAATTTATACTTACGTATTTTTTTATAAAATAAATAAAATAAAATAAGTAATGTTTATTTCGGACAAGTGATCCATCGGGGTGAGTAAGAAAAAAATTAAAATCTTAAAACTATGTTAGTACCTATTTTGTTACAAGCCTACTGTTGGGAATACATCTTCGCACGATATATTTATGGCATAAGCCGGTAAACGAACAGACGGATCACCGGATGGTCAGCAATCGGCGTCGCCCATGGACACTTGGAACACCAAAAGGCGTCACAAGTCCGTTACCGGCCTTTTCCTTTTTTTCTTTTTTTGCGGATTAGGAGTTTAAGGATCGTTGGGGATTCAGGAATTGGGGAGATTGGGGAAGGGGAGGGTAATTGGGCCTACATGTAGTTACATTGGGCCTACATATAGTTACATTGGGGATACATGTTAGTTACAAAAACTGATATTTGATGACTTCAAAAAAAAAAACTCTCAATTTGATCGTTTGCATATGTACCTACGTTTGTGCGTGATTATTTTACAATTGGCTGAATCAATTTTGATGTCATTATCAGAAAAGGGTTTCTTACAATTAGGAGAAGGTTTTAGTCCCTATATACCCATTAGCGCCTGCCGTACTATATATAGTACACCACTTTAAACTACGATAAAACTTACAAAGTTAATATTTTTGCTCTGGCAATAATTTGAAAGGGTCCCTAGCAGACCTTGCAGTAGGTGTATACATAAATCGAAACGTAATTATTAAATTGTATGAGGGTAATTTGAGATTTTGTATCAGTGATTTTTTCGTGTTCTTCGGTGAGTACTTCTTTATTTTATTTACATGGTTTAAGTGTTATTCAAAAAGTCAGAAAAGGTCCTTTTTTACTTTATAACATTATAACCTAACATAATAAATATCAAAAAGTTAATTTCATTTATAGACTTTGATAATATAACTCCCAAACTGCTGCTGTACTAACTTTAGTACATTGGGCGCTTGACAACGTAATGTAAGACATTACAATATGAACATGTTTTATTAGAATTTTCAGTCATTTGCTCATTATATTTACTTGTGGCATTTGTTTTAATTTTCAATAACGTATTACCCTTTTTCTGGGTTTTCAGGAGACAATAGGAAACCACTATACATTTATAAAATGGCTTATAGACATACTTTCACACAAGAAAATAGCTATTTTGGTTTACAAGAAGCTTTACACGATATAATCAACCAGGATAGTGACGACGATGCTACTTATGATGTGATTATGTCGCCACCTGATCCAGACGTTGTCACTGATGAAGAGGAAGGTGGTGAGGATAACTTATATCATAAAGAATTACCTCAGGATGTTCCAGGTAACGTAGAAGTGGTTACTCACAGACGTTCTTGTGCTGTCGAGGATGAATGGAGCACCGACGATGATGAACCTCTCACAACAATGGCATCATCGTCTTCGCAAAGTGCGCCAAAGAGAAGAAAAGTTGATGGAGTGCCAACTTGGAGAAAGTGTGTGCCTGTTTATTCCATTTCTCGGTCTATTACAGAATCTGCAGCTCTTGAAGAACGATGTTCTAAAGTTTCAGATATCCTAAAAGACATGACCCCTGTGAAAGTCTTTGAATATCTTTTTGACGACGAAGTGCTAGAACTTATCACATCACAAAGCACAATATATGCTGGGCAAAACAATAGGCACGATAAATCTTTCAGTAAAGAGGAACTTCGAAAATTCCTAGGCATACTTATACTTTCCGGTTACCACAAATTGCCTAGCGAGAGGTCGTACTGGAGCTTAGATGATGATCTAGGTGTAACATTAGTTTCAGAATGTATGTCAAGAAATAGATTCATGGAAATAAAAAGAAATCTGCATTTTGCAGATAATACTTTGGCTAATAACTCTAATGATAAAATGTTCAAATTGCGGCCACTTTGTAATGTTTTACAAAGAAAATTTTGTCAATTTGGGATGTTACATAAAGATTTATCGATAGACGAATCAATGGTCAAGTACTACGGACACCATTCGGCCAAGCAATTTATTATGGGTAAGCCTGTGCGATATGGATATCGTAATTGGGCGTTGACTAGTTACGATGGCTATTGTTATACATTTGATGTGTATTGCGGTAAATCGTTAGAAGCTACTACTGATCCCCTTGGCTCTCGCGTTGTGAAGACTTTGCTGAACAAAGCGCCAACAAAACCTGAAGAACACGTCGTCTATTTTGACAATTTTTTTACCAATTACGATTTGCTTGTTGATTTGAAGAAGCTCGGTTACAGGGCTACTGGTACCTTACGAGAGAACAGAACCAAACGGTGTCCTTTGATTACATCTAAGGAGATGCGGAAAAGGCCTAGAGCGGAATACGACCACAGATTTGATAAGTCTAACGAAATTTTATTAGTTAGGTGGAAAGATAATAATGTTAGTACTATTGGAACAAATTTCGATTACTTAGAACCACTTGGAAAAGTCAAAAGGTGGTGTCCCATAAGGAAACAAAAAGTAGACGTAGACATACCGCATGTATTCCAAAATTATAACAAGGGGATGGGCGGGGTTGATCAGATGGATCAGTCCATCGGACTTTACCTAATTGGGGTAAGAGGAAAAAAGTGGTGGTGGGTCTTGTTCACTTATATGGTGGATATGGCAATTTCCAATGCATGGAGACTACATTGCATTGCAAACTCAGATAGTCGAATGGATCAGCTAGCATTCCGCAGACATATTGCACGTACATATCTGAGTAATAAAAAGCCCTATAAGAATAGACCGTCTTCCTCTAGGATTGATGGAGAAGAAAGAACAAACAATGGCCATAATCCGGAAAAAATACCAAACCAACTTAGATGTACTGTGTGCTCCAATAGAGTCAAAACCGCTTGTGGAAAGTGCCTGAAAACAATGTGTCTGGATAGAGGATGCTTTGCTAAATATCACTCTTAGGCGCCCATTGTACTAAACTTAGTACACCCCAAAAAACCCAACTTTTTATAAAAACATTTTTTTTCTTTATTTTTTTTGTTCATAAGAAAGTATTTTTGTGCCGTAAATAAACATTGATTATGTAAAATTTATCGTAGTTTTAATTTGGGCGTTAATGGGTTAACTGACTTCAATAAAAAAGGGGCTTGAAGTTTTTTTAAACGTAATTTATGAAAGAATTATTAGCTTTAGATTAAATGCCGTAATGTGTTCTCTGCCTACCCCTTCAAAAATAAAGGCGTGATGTTATATGTATTAGCCTTAGATTTGATTTGTACAAAAGGCAGATCATCTCATCATCATCTTTTCCTTCTTTGTAGGGGTTTTGGGGTTAGATAGCTTCAATTTTTGCTACCTAACCCCACCTACCCAACCTATAAAAATTGTGGTTACCTTACCTTACCCCACCTTACCCCAATTTCTGTATTGCAATTTTTTATTTTTATTCTTGTACTCAGAGATGTTAAATAATTACTTAAATTTTTAACGATTTTGTTTCGAAAACAATTGCTAAGAATAGGATTGTGTCAAAAACCATTAAATGACTTAAGTATTAGTCATTCCTATTATTAATTTTATTTGTGTGAGTAGGAGGAAATAAATATATGTCGGAATACTGAAACGCTACTCAATTTTAAGTCGTGCTTAAGTATAGTTCTATCTCTACAAATTCTTTGTAAAATGACAGAGATGGCACGATATTTGAGCACGACTTAAAATTAAGTAACGTTTCAGTATTCCGGCATATAGTTCGTCTAATTGTCTATAACACTACGCATCGCATTAATTATCAACTCACCTTTTTATACAGAGCGCCTAGATCGATTTCCGTTTCAATTTTGAACTTAGGTATGCACAATATAAGGTCTGTTTTTTTCATTTTCTCTAAAGCTTGGTTCAGTAGTTCGGGTGCTAGTTTTAAAGCTCGCAGCAGTACTGCTAGACCATTCTTGCTGTATGGCAGAACTATAACCATTGAAGATTGCCCTCCTTCGTAAGGAATTTCGACGATCTACAAACAACGGTAAAGTACTTCAGTTTTATTTGGATGGCCAATCTGTCTAATACCTTTGATAGATTTAGAAACTTAATGTTTTGGAATAAAATTAATAATGCATTGCAAAACAGAGATATTGCTGTCTTTACAGCTGTATTCCGTTTCGATCTCTTTGACTGGATTTCGATGTTACATTGTTCTCGCACAATCGAACCAATAAAACTATGTAGCTAGAGAATTGTACTGTAAACCTGATGGAAAGAAGTAATCTATGCAGTTTCTTTCTCGTTCTTCTCCATAGGAATCTACACCTTGGAATGAGCAAGTGGCTTCACTTTGAAATATATTTTTTTTATGGAATAGGAGGTAAACCAGTATACGCATCACCTGATGGTATAAGCGATCAGCGCTGCCCATGGACACCCGCAACACCAAAAGAGTCACAGGTGCGTTGCAGGCCTTTTTAAAAAGGGATACGCTCTTTTCTTGATGGAATATTTTTGTTGACGTTCACAAGTGCCTTCTTGGTCTAATTAAAATAAATGATTTTGACTTTGACTTTTGACCGTAAATGTATTTATTTGGGAATATTTTGCGATGAACGTAACCAAATCAACGGTATCTTATCACCCAGTGATTGGCCAAACAGGACCTTACGAGACAAAAACGACAGTCATCATTGCAAAATAGACTTAAATAATACTACCTGAGCATTCAAAGTATCACATTGGTAGTAATTGTATGTCCCTTGCCGTGTCATCATTGGTACACGGTGTGTTCCTGATGGTGAATGAAAGTCGTCCGTGTATGTCCTGCTGAACTGATTATTCCAAGAACCCTGAAATTAATGAGCTCCACCATTATCATTATACTGACCAAGTGACAACAAAAAAAAATCTTCCCAGTAGTAGCACGGAGTCTGAAATTGTGCCCGGTATATGGCAATAGGTTCACCCCCTATTACATGGGACCCATAATATAAATAGTGAAAAGTGAGTGTTACATTGTGCAGTGGCATTATGTGCCGTAATGTGCACGCCTATGCCTCCGGGGATAAAAGGCGTGATGTAATGTTATGTAGTGACTATGACCTGTACAACGCGCTAAAGGTGATACGTGTATCACGCTGTACTTACAGTTAAGCCGTAGTTGTTCGGATAAAACCCGTAAAAAAAAAACTATCGCACCAATTAAGTACTCCACCAAATTCACATCATTAATTTGCACTCAATCACAAATGCAATTTGCCTAACCCGGAAATAAAGCCCATACAATTAACCAGGCAATCCTTTTTTGGAAATAATGGGAAGGTCCGGTCACGTTAAACCATGTTACTAAGGGCCTAATGACGATAGGTTCATCCTAAAATAAGCACCTAATGCATGGAACGTGGGTCTAAAACACTTTTTGGACCCTTACCTTTAGCCAAACCAAATATAAACCTACTAGCTTTTACCCGCGGCTTCGCTCGCGTCACAAAAGGATAAAAGTAGCCTATGTGACATATTACAGCGCCATCTATACCATTACTTTTGTTTTCCCTCGGGAATATGACATTTTTCCGGGATAAAAAGTACCCTATTATTTAATCCGGACTTCTAACTTTACGTCTGCAAAAATTCAAAGCAATCGGTTTAGTAGTTACGGCGTGAAGGCGGAATAAACAAACAAACTCACTTTCCGATTTATAATATTAGTAAGGATTTACCCACGTTAATGTGTATTTTAGAGATAACCGAGAAGCAATATGGTGACGATAGAGTGAAATACATTTGTCACCATCCGTACTTTTCCCCTGGGTGTGGTTAGGTCAGGGACCGATTTGACCGAGACCAAGTAGCAGCGCTGTCTGATAAAACTAAACCTTTCAAACTGCGATGTTCCACCCTCCAATCAAGCTTAGAGATTATTGTGTGCATAGGCTTCATATAATTGATATATTTTTGATTTTTATCTATGTATTTATTTATTTATGTACAAAATTTTATTATGCCACATAAGGCGAACTTAATGCCATATGGCATTCTCTACCGGTCAACCTTAGGGAAACCTCAACGAAAAATAAGGCACCCACGGAGAATAAACTAACAGTAAAGAGAGAGAGAGAGAGAAAAAAAAGTAAATATTTAATAATATATTACATTATAGTAAATAATGTATAGAGTCATATGCATAAAATATATAGGTATAATATATAAATTATATATAAATAATATAATTATAGAATAAATATATTACAATTGCGTAATGTAAACAGGTTGACTTACTCATCGGCTAGTTGCTGTCTAAGCACTTTATTGTAATTTGTACAGCAAGTGTATGATCGTGGACTTTGACCTAGTTTATATATCTACCGTTGCAAGTAATTTTTCGACTATAGTGATAAATAATATGCCTTTTGTCTAAGTTAAATCGTACCTAATTTTAATTATTTGTGTATTGGATGCCTAATTATCTACCTACACCATATTGTCATGTTACTCTTAAGTTGTTTCACCTCTGCCTATCTCTTCCGGGAGTATAAGGCGCGAGGTATGTATTTATGTATATTATATAGTCTTTATATTATTTGTCAAAATATTGTCAAGTATTAATTAATAATTAGCATGTAAGAGCGTATATAGAAATAAAATTATAATTGTGTTAGACCTACTCTCGCCTGTGACACAGGATTATCCTAGTACAGGCACCCAACCATGTGAGATCTATTTTATTTACCCAAGAAATATTTTTGTATCTGTGTCCATTTTCATTTCTGAATAAAGATTTTATTTATTTATTTATTTATAGTAAGTAAATTTTGTACGTCGTACTTACGTAGAAGTAGATGGCGTTGACCAAAATTAGAGAAGTATCTCTTGAAATATCTGATGATCGAACCAACTTCTTTATTTTACCTCGTGTTTTTTCTGATACCTGATTATTGAACAAAACCTTAATTAATTAAATAATTGTTACTTTATGTCGTTTATGCCACCACGGGCATCTTAGTGCCCGCTTCTCAAGGGTGCGGCAAGTACCAATGTGACTTTTTCCAAATTATATGTACTTTCTAAGATTATTTAGACACCACTGACAAACGGTGAAGGAAAACAACGTGAGGAAACCTAGGCTTATAATTTCTAATTATAAGTTTGTAATCACCAACCCGCGTTGAGCAAGCGTGGTGATTAGTGCTCAAACCTTCTCCGTGTGAGTAGAGGCTTTGCTCAGCAATGGGCATTTATAGACTTGATGATGAAATAATAGTTACTTTAAGTGATAGTTTTATGGTTTTTGACAAATCCAACCAAGAGAAGACTGGTGTTTCTTGTAGCTGAGAAGATCTTTTTAAGCACCTTTACTACAAGTGATCTGTTTTGAGTTGGCTTAACTAAGTTTGACGGCCGATGGGACAGAAAATCTTTTAGATTGAAGGTCATATTTCGGCAATCGTAGTGGACCGTTCAAAGAATGCTTAAATGAACCAAACAGTTATTCAAGCCTTACTCACCCAATCGTTAATCATTGATGCAGTCTGCGATGGGTCTGAAGCATCAATCTTCTGACAAGACGACTTGAAAATTTGTTTAGTGTGTTTTTCGAATTTTCTGTTTAGTGTACTTTCGGATCCGACGTATATCCTGCTGGCCACATCCAGAGTAACTCCGGGCAGGTACTGCATATTTGTGATTAAATGTGCGAACGAGCTTTCTATCTGTATTGAAAAAGGTAACAATGAAATAGATACTTGTTTCATCCTCCATAAGGATCAATTTTGTAGTTGTAAAGCATTCTGTATTTTTTTTCTATTTTATTACTTTGTCTGACTTCAAATATCTTTAAGAACTAGTCAGGGGCATCCATGATCCTGTGTACTTCCGATTCTTCATCATTAGTGTGATTTACAAACTACAGGTATTAAAAAACTGTCCAGTTACTTCAGTGTGTACTTACTTGCTTACTATTGCTAAGACCTAAGGCTTTTAATAATTCTTTTTCTGATTTTCCTTCTGCTCCTAATGCTAATTTTCCTAAAGGCATCAGTGCAGACATTGGAGAACAAATCATATTCCTCGCATGATCCACTAACGCTGCTTCCTAAAATGATAATTTACTTTTAAGCGTAGCACAAAAGGGACAATGATCACTCTAGTTTTATTTTTTAAATAAGAGGCTATTCAATAATGGTCTCTTAATTAATAATTGTGCATAAAACTGTCAGATCTGTATGTTGTATTTGTTTACCATTTTTGATCATACGTCTTCTTAGAACATAAATAGTGAAAAGTGGGTGTTACATTGTACAGTGGCATAATGTGCACCTCTGCCTAACCCCTTCGGGGATAAAAGGCGTGATGTTATGTTATGTTATGTCTTCTTAGAACCGAAGCCTCGGTAACCCGCTAGGCCATTCGCAGCTCTAGGTAGGTAGGCCGTCTGCAGCGCCGGACTTGCGATGCCTCTGCTGTTGCAGTTCTACTTAGGCTACGGTACCTAACCACTTAGACCGCAACCTCTATAGCCAAAATGCATGGATTTAACATTTTAAACATATCTACTTATTTACCAAAGCGAATTGCTTCCGCATGGTTCCTCTAAAGTCCAAATATGTGTCGACGAACGTGACATGTTCCACATCCTGTTCCTCACTCTCAATGTATCGCATTTTCGTCTGAGTCGTCTCTTTCGTAGTGTTCCCTTCCACATTCTTATGTTTATGTTTTCTTGCTGACACTATGATACCTAAATATACCACTGAAAAAGTAGGGTCTGTTATAATCAAGTCTAGAATATTTTTAATATTTTGGCAATTGTTTAACAGAAGCTTTGTTGTTCAGCTCATAGGCGGTTGGTGGGTAGGATTTTCGATTTTATATCTAGACGATTTTTTTTTTTTTAAGTGGGAAATTCATTGAATTACTTCTCCCGCCTGGGTGAGGCGGGAGGGAGTGTCAAACTCTTACTAACTAAAAACCACCCCGTTCCTTCTCCTGCGCTTCTAGCCGAAGCCCCGGTAACCCGTTAAGTTCTCCGCGACATATATAGACGATAGAGTTGAAAATTTAATAAATTAGACGGAAAAAAGTAGGTCGAACTCCTACTACTGTAACTACCCTACAATACCCTTCTAATACACTTTGGCTTTGATATATAAGTTCCTACCTGAGTACTAGTACTCACGTGGGTACTTGGAAAATTATACCGGCATTCTTTTATTTTATAGACCTGTAACCAAATAGATAAATAGATGGATACTTACAAATAAAGTAAAGTCTCATTATATTTAATTAAATAGCCAATCCATGAGATTTAAACAGACCACACCGTAAAAATTTAAGCTAGTTCTGATAAACGCATATCATTTTTTCAATCAAGTGATTCGTTACTGTTTATACGTTTGATGGAACTAATTAGTAATCTACGGAGAGATACAGTTGATATAATACCTACCAGTTCTTGCGTCAGTTTTGCTTAACAAAATCCTCTACAAAATTATCCTATTCGGACAATAGGTAATCACACTTAGCGCCATATATTAAGAAAAATATGTAGATACCTAAATATTTTTCTATATTTTTCGTTGGTTTTCATACAAAATACCTTTTTTATGGGATAAGTAAGCCGGTAAACAAGCAGACGGATCACCTGACGGTAAGCAATCGGCGCCGCCCATGGACACCTGAAACTCCAGAGGCGTTACAAGTCCGTTACCGGCCTTTTGAGAATTAGGAAATTAAAGATTGTGGGGCATTCGCGGATTGTGGAGATTGGGGAGGCAGGTAATTGGGCACCCGGTATCCTCACTCACACGACGAAACACAACGCAAGTGTTTTTCACGTCGGTTTTCTGTGAGGCCGTGGTATCACTCCGGTCAAGCCGGTCCATTTGTGCCGAAGCATGACTTTCCTACACGAAGGAAAACTAGAGGTATAAACTCTAACACCTAAATTAAACTATAACATTGGAAATATAAATCTATAAACTTGAGTATCCTTAAATTTCTCCTCTCTTCGTTCGTTTTTTTTAGTTAGTTACACAAGTAGGTACCAACTTAAGTCAATACTAAAACGAATCAATTTAGCGATTGAAATGTGACCACCATTATGTATCCGAGTTGCATATACAAGTGTGGTTTTAAAGCCGCGTCATTTTCTAGGAGGTAACTCGGCTATCGATTCTGAGTCCGAATCAATAAAAAAATTGTAGATAAATATTTTTCAATTCCTGTAAATTACGGAAATTCGTAAGCGTGAACTACAAGCCGCCGTCATGTAACTAGTTTTATAACGCGGCATAACACACACAAACTCAAACACGTAATTGATATTATTCCTAATTCCATAAAACTCCAATAAGAAACATTGCTGTCGCTTATTTTGAAATACTGTCGAACTTAAACGACTTATTATAGCCGTATTTTTAACTATTGGCACGAAACTTTTTCTTACATTGAACCTTTATTACTTCTGTGACATAAAGGCCCCCAAGAAATGTCACGGTTACAAAACTACACCTTGTATAAATTATTAAATAGCTCTTGCTCCAAAACAAGGCAAAAAATGTGCCTAGTAAGGCAGTCAATCAATAAGTGGATTGGGACTGTATTCTGTACTAAATATGAATTAATTAGCATTAGCTTTACTTTAGGGAACCAAACCTTTAGATAAAGCTAAAAAATATTTTCTAGAGTTGGCAACAATATAATAATTTGACAGTTGACATTGATAGAATTTGATAGTTCACACTTGACAGAAACGTAAAGATTTCAATTTCGTAAATGAAATCGTATTCATATTGAGTTTTCGCTTGATAAAACTCAAAACAGCATATATTTTTTGTGTTTAGGAAGATTTATAGTCTCTGTAAGATTTTTAATACAATCCTGTACGTGTGTAACGCGCGGAAGTTATCAGTTTCTTCCACAACCACAACAAAATGATTCCTAGCGAGATTTTTGCTGAAGATTTGATGAGTACAGTTATCCGGTATGGCTTGTACATCGGTGCAGCTTTCCAGATTGTGTGTCTTATGGCCTGTGTAACTTTAACTGACGAGCAGAGCGAGCCACATCCTTACGAAAAGGTAATTTAGTTTCTTTAAGTTATCATTTAGATTAAAGTATGAATATAGATTTCCTCTTATTAGTGGTCGTCTTGTTTACACCTATTCCTATAAGATTCTGAAAACCTGATGTTATCCATCTAGGTACATTGTTCGCAAACTTATGTTATGATACTCCAAATCTTTATCAATTTTCGAAATATAGCTACCATCCATTAATTTGTTGCACTGAGTTTGTAACTGTAACTATACATTCCTTCAGTATATAAAAGCTTCGTATAAAAATAACAGTGTAACCTCAAAAATACTGAACCAAATTAAGATACATTTGTATTTTTGTTGACAATAAATACTAATTGTAGACTCAAGAAATTAGAAAATTCATAAACAAATGTATTTTTATTATTTAGGTAGCATACATAGACAATGTTCAAAGAATATTGTTATTACTGTTTTACCATTTTATCCAAATTCCGAAAATGGAGGAGGTTCTCAATTTGGTATGTACTTTCTGCTTTCTTTTTCTATGTATCTCTTAAAATTACAGGCCTACACTGACAGTGATGAATGCAGCTCCGAGCAGTCTTCACCAGGACACCGAGCAACCATGTCTCGAGCTCGTCGCCATGACAAGAAGAAAAGACGTTAAACATAAACTCCATCAATGGAACCCACCGATCTCAAAACTTGTCTCTAACAGCTAATTTATACATCTTTGTATTAGATTATTGATCTCTATTTTATTTTGATATACTAATATTATTTTTTGAGTAGAAAATCAAGTAAATTCATTAGAAATGACATTGGAACATTGTAAGCATAATTGTTTTGTATTGTATAGTAATATAGTTGATAGATACAATATTTTGGTTACTTAGTTTATTCACAAATTTATTTTTTATATAAAATAGATCTCTTATGCATAATAATTATAGCAGACTTTATTGACTGTGTTAATAACCAAGTTATATCTTAAAAGTGTTAGCAATACTCAATCAGTAAAAAATAAAATCTAATCAGAATTGACTATAATTATTATGAATCCACTGAACAAAATAAAAGTACTCATTCAGTCCTAAAAATGTAAGAAAAATAGAATTATCAATTTTGAATGTAAGTAAAATGTCGTGTATTGTATAATGGACTATCTGCCATACTCAGAGTCATTACTACTTAAATGCTGGTATATAAGCCACAATAGAAAATGTGTTGCATCTCACGTAGATCTGCGTTTCAGCTCATGGGTCAATAGTAACACAATAGTTTTGTTTTCAGAACAGTGTATTGAATAGTTTAACCCTTAACCAGGCTATGGATTGAGCATTTCCCACATAGACTTTTAAGAGTTTTTATCAGGTTTTGGTTAAGAATCTACCACAATCTGTCAAAAACACACATAGAAATATTACCTATGGTAACCCAAAAAAAAAAATGTTGAACGAAACGCAAATGTCACTTTCGCAGCCATTTCATCTGTGGTCAGCCGCTAAACGGACATTTTTGTAACTAGTGCACCGTATTTTTATTCATTATGGCGAATCGGAGAAAGGTAAGTCGTACAATTTTTTGATATGTTGTACAATTTGAGTTTTTCTAGTAATTTGTGTATAAATTATAAGTAAAAAATTCTAAAATATCATGATATAACGAAATTAAACATGTGGGGAACCATATGCCGTAAGCCTATGAATGCCTGATTATTGTGGGAGTTATATTTCCATTGCCTGGTGAATTAAAATCTTTATTTTATACTAGGCTTTTGCCATGGGTTTTCTCTAGACTTTTTGTTTGAATTTACTTACGGTCATTTATCGATATAAAACGGGGTGTGTGTTAAATTTTTGTCGTCATTATTTGTCAGCCTACCTTAGTGTATTTTTTGTTATTCAGGTAATAAACGATCAACAGCTCGAAAACTTACTAAATAATATGTTTTCATCAGAGGAAGAAAATGATGAAGATGAAGACCCATATTTAGATTATGTCCCAAAATCATTCGACGAAAAATTGAACGAGATTCAAGGTATGTCAAACCAACAGTTATTACGAATATTAGACGATGATGTACATCAAGCTAATGAAAAGTCATCTGATGAAGACATTCCGCCTTCTGTTATATTGTGTGCACCATCCTATGACTTGCCTGAATTGCTTAATTCTGTTGATGAAGAATCAGCTAGTGTTTTGTTTGGATCATTGCCTGACTTACCTGCTCACCCTGAAGTGGCTACTTCTTCTGCTGATGAAGAAAGGTCACCTTGTGTTTTGTTTGCACCATTCTCTGACTCACCTGCTTACCCTGAAATGCTTACTCCTATTAACGAAGAAAGGGCACCTTGTGTTTTGTTTGCACCCTTGACTAACGCACCTGCTCACCCTGAAATGCTTACTCCATCTGTTGACCAACCTATGCCACCTTGTGTTCAATTGCCTGCACCATCGTCTAGTTTACCTGCTAATGTGCCAACTTATGCTGATTTGCAAGCACGGGATAGAACATGGACTACACATATTGAAAATTTTAATATGTACAATTTTGACAAGTTATTAGAACCTACTAAATCATATAGCCAGCAGAGTCTCCCCATTGAATATTTCAGTAACTTATTTCCAGATGAGGTTTTTCAAATGATTGTTGAATACACAAATAAATATGCGAGAATGAAACAAAGCAAATTTTGGAGTGACACCAACGTGAAGGAAGTAAAAGCATTCCTAGCTATAATCATTCTAATGGGAATAAATCCTCAGTCAGATATAGAGCTTTATTGGAGCGCAGATCCGTTTTACAATAACATAGAGATTAGTGGTACAATGACATGCAAGAGATTTAAAAAAATTTTAGAAAACCTACATGTTTGCGACAATTCAACTCATTTGCCCCAGAATCATAAAAACCACGACAAATTGCAAAAAATAAGACCCCTGTTAGATTTTCTAAACAGAACTTTTCAAGAAAATGCCACTAACTCTGAATCCCAATCTGTGGATGAAAGTATGATCAAATTTAAAGGGCGCGACGCTAAGAAACAGTACATGCCTGCCAAGCCTATCAAAAGAGGGTTTAAGGCATGGTGCCGTTGCGATTCCAAGACCGGATATTTATATCAGTTTGATATTTACACAGGCAAAGACCAAGAAGCCAATGAGGAAGGATTGGGTTACAGAGTTGTAATGAAACTTGGAGGGAATTTACCACGAAACACACATTTGGTTTTTGACAACTTTTTCTCGTCTTTAGCTCTCATGGAAGCTCTTTATCATAGAGGTATTTTGGCAACAGGAACAGTACGGATGAATCGAAAAGGCCTACCTAAAGATCTGTGTCCACCACGCCCTAAAACAGCTGAAGAACGAAGACAGGCCAAAGAAAATAAATTGGATCCTGGAGAGTTTACGTACCGCTTCTGCCATCCCTGTGCTGTGGTCAAATGGCAAGACACTAAAGAAGTTTTTGTTGTTACAACTGCAATTAATCCAACCAAAGTTGAAGTGATCCAGAGAACTCAAAAGAACGGGCAAAAGAAAGACATGTTTTGTCCAACTGCGATCGCAGAGTACACAAGGAGTATGGGTGGTGTGGATCACTTTGATCACTATCGAAGTTCCTATTCGATTGGCCGCAGATCAAAAAAGTCCTGGTTCCGGATATTTTGGTTCTTGTTTGAGAGTGCCATTATAAACGCATATATTTTATATAAACATAATAATCAAAATCGTAAAAACATTCATCGCGATTTCCGATTACGGTTAGCTAGAAGTTTGAAATCGGGCCATATCTCGAACAAAAAACAAGATCCGGTGGTATATAAAAACAAAAAAGGAGGTGTATTTGGAGTTCCGGACGAAATAAGACTAGGGCAAAGAGGAAATCATTTTTTAGCATTGTCTACATACAAACGGTGTAGGTTTTGTAGCACAAGAAAACAAGAAAAGCGGTCAAAATATGAATGCGAAATTTGTAAAGTAGCATTATGCGTCACCCCTTGCATGAAAATGTACCACCAAAATCAAAATCCAGAAATTCTCAATTAATTCTTTGAGAATTTCTGGATTTTGGTTTTTGTGGCTTTTTTTCTATCTAATTGTTTCTTTTTTTTTGTATTGTGATCAAAATTCAGAAGATGTATAAAAAAAACTTGTTAAAGTTCATACTCAATCCTTATCCTATTAATTGTTTTTTTTTTTTAATAAAGCATACTTATTCTTACACTACATTTTTCATTTGAACAACAAATAATAAAAAAATTAATCAAAATGACAATCGTTTTTTATTTTATATATAGATAAAAAGTCGGCCCCTCGACAGGCAAAGGGATTATGTTTTCCCACATGTTTTTTTTCAGGTTTTCAGCAAAATTTCTAAATATAATTGAAAAAATCTTATACTATATGTTATTACTCAACTTACTCTACGAAAAAAACAACATTACTGCATGATTTGTTCGAGGCCTGGTAAAGGGTTAAGTACAGTAAAACGGGGTGAATAGGGTTTAAGCGCCGAAAAGGGACAGAAGAGGGGTGAATCAATACTAGGAAAAATTTCCTATCTTTACACCCTCTTCTGGAAAGATGGGACCTCTTCTGACCTTATTCACCTCTCAATCCCTATTCACCCCATTTTACATCATTAAATTAATGTGTTGGAGTATGACAGATAGTATTTTAGTGTTTTCAATAGATGTAATTATTTTTTAATGGATTGGATGGTGAAGGCCCTAAGAGATGGTATGCAATTTTACATAATGATGGCTAATATTTTATTACTCGCTAATTGGCGCGAATACCTTCCTGTATGTTTTGTTGTCCATTACAGCAGCTGTCAGATATTTAACGGCCAATAATTTGACACTAGCCAACTTTTTTTTTATATTTGATGGGCCGACGTTTGACTACTATCTCGTCTGGTGGTAAGCGATGACGCGGTCTACGATGCACGTCGACCCCTAAGCAACCTATTCACTCGGGCCTTGAAGACACCCAGAATATATCCATAACTCCTTATTGGACGAAGAACTAGAGGTACACACTGGCGCCATCAGGTGAGCAAAAATACCGTAGGCCCCATTATGTCAATTTGAAGTGAATGAAAAATGAAAGGATAATTGTACTAATTTTAATTTTAATGAAATAAAACATTTCAAGATAATATAAAGCATTTTATTTGTTATGTGGACTAGAAACCTTACAGCATTAACATTATTGCATCTATTTATTATTAAACTATAGAATAAAAATCTCATATAAAATTATTCAACATTTTGTACAGTATAAGCACATTGTAAGTACAACATTTAAGGCACTGGGATACTTATATAACTATAGATAGCACCAAACATTTTGTTCCTTACATTATTTAAAGAGCTTCATAATCTTGTTCTTTTTAATCTATGGCACACAACTGGCACTCTGTCTCATTGAAGAAGTACTGTAAATATCTTACTTCATTGTATAAATACTAAACCTACTTTGTATACATATATAAACATTTCTTCTGATTTAAAATGATTGCATCACTGTAAATATCACATCTAATTTTTTCATTGGTTTTTTGGGAATATCTTTGTACTTCTTTCTCTTTACATTTCTTGGGACAGAGAGCATTGTATTGGAGAATTTTAAGTTATTAATATTACATTACACATAATAAAATAATTGACAAACATTATAATTGCACAAATTCATTGTATATAAATAAATACTCAGTGGCATGAAATATGACCCAAACAAAACTGATAACTAGGTCGCAGTATTATGGCAGTTGAACTATAAATGAACTGGAAATATGTTCATGAACAATATGAACATGATAAAATATATTCAGCATGCAGATAATTTTTTAAACCTTCATTTTCCTTCATATTATCTTTTTTTTTTCTTCTTCATAGAATGTTCTTCGAGTTTTATTTTCGAGATGAACCACATACCGTATTTGGGCCATTTTCCTTGCCGCTGAGTCTATATTATAATATATTAATTACGTAAATTGTATAACATTGCTACAGCAAAAACATGTATATGAAACAACAAAACACAGTTCACATATAATATTATTACTTATATCGATGAAAATATCACTTATGCAGACTAACAGCGTAAAGATGGCAATGCAAGAAACCCAATGCTTTTGTACGTAGTTAAATGCAACGGTTTTAAAAGCTTCAATTGTTAACTCGATGTTAGATTGAAATTATGCGTTTTCAAAGCCTGCATCAGGTCATTATCTGAAATAAATTGTTTGAAAGCTTCAAGTTTCTTGAAACATATTGTAACGCAACACGCCTCGTCGCCATCACAGCATTTTTCTTTTTTGACCGTACAAGACGATACTTCTTCGGCAATAGACTTTTTGGCGTTTTGACACGAACCTTCAGTAGATTTTTTGCCGCTACATGGTGACTTTTTGGCGCCACATGGCGTTTTCTCACCACCACAGGGCGTCGATTTGCCACCACAAGGGGTCTTGTTGGTGCTACAAGGAGTATCACTGTCAGTAAAAGGAGTATTGTTGCCGCTGCATGACGACTTCTTGCCACTACATAGCGATTTGCTCTCACTGCAAGGAGACTTATTTTCGCTACAGGGTGATTTCTTTTCACCACAAGAGGCTTTTTTGGCACTACAAGGTGTCTTCTCACCACTGCAAGTTTTCTTCTTGTCACCACACGACCGCTTCTGCTCATCTTGATGATGACCACATTTTTCACCAGATCCATGACCACTACATGAGCACGCGAAACTTTTCATCAATGCTGAAGTTTGAAGAGTTTCTTCACCTTCATGAACAGTAAATATTCCTAAATCTTCTAAGTTTGAATTGTTGTGTCGCCGATGATAATGTAAGAACGTGTTGTGATTTGTGTCAGTAGCTTGCCCACAACCTACTGCGCACTTCATAGCTTCGTGGTCGCATTTGCAATCGATACATGAACACGTATCGTCCAGACATTGCTGCGGCTTGGGAGGCTCCACGAGAGGTTCTTCTTCAGAACAATCGCCCCTGCACTCCCCAACAGAAGGATCACACTCACAAGTCATACACGAACAGATGCCAGCGTCAGCCGCCAACTGTTCCAGTGTATTCCTTTTCGCAACCTTACCAAATATATTCTCAGTCCTCACTACATACATATCAGAGGGAGGTTCATTATCAAACAATAATGTATCTTCCAAATCTAAGTCCGTATTGAAGAGAACCGAGTTGGCTGGGTTTATTTCGATGTTCTGCCTTACTTTGGACGGAGGAGGTGTGTTCAGAGATCTATCATCATCAGACCCTAAGAATAAGTCGATATCAGTATCTATTTTATTCGTATCGAGATTAGTGACTATTTCACTGTCGTTGAACACTTTATCGCCAACGTCTAGTACACTTGGAGTATCTAAATTGAATGAGTCGTGAGTTATAAGATTGGCGGTCGGTGCAACTTCTGTACTCAAGTCTATGTAACTCTGCATATGTGTGGGTACAAAGGTTGCTAGCGTGAAAATGCTTTCTGGAGTTTTTTCTTCGATGCAAACTGGGGTTTCTGATATTGAAGCTGCTAGAGCGCTCACATCCACCCACGGTGCTTGATCTTCGATTTCATTTGCCAACGCCAGTTGCATCGCTTTGGACTTGACTTCTAACTTGGGATGTGTCATCTCAATCTCAGGTGTTTGTAGGGGTACCATGGGTTGTAGATCGTTCACATCGACCCACGGATTTTCGGTTTTCCTGTCAACTTTATCGACTGCGAATGGTGATAGAGTGAGACTGGCTAGATCATAGTCCACAGCGAGGTCATCTGTTTCTATATTTTTAAGGTTTTGATTGTTTTCTGAGAAAAGGAGTTCTGTTATGTCGACAGTGTTGACTTTGGTGATGTCCTCTAAGCTGCCGTCTGTTGAGTTGGATTCGGTCGTGATTCTGCCAAAGGATTCGAGTAGGCTGTCCCAGTTCATGACATCTTCGCCTGTTTTGGTCGGTTGTATTTGTTTCTGTATAGGTTCAATGATATCTTTGACTGGTTCGGTTTTGATCTGTGGAATAAAAAGACATGTTCTACATAAACAATATTTTTGGGCAATAATTCGTCACTAAGTAGTTTGTTACTTTGTTGACACTTTTATATAGATATGAACCTAAAGAAATCTCTAGCACCAGTTGCCAGGCATGTTTATAGCATCTAGCATTTCCCCGGATGACTAATGATGCGGGGGCTTAGAGTTGATTCATTAGTGTTTTCCAACCAGTATCAAAACATGCAAAAAAATTAAAAAGCTAGAATTCTCGACAGAACTAGGATTTTGTTGAACTAATGCACTTTTCTCGTGAACAAACGCGTTATTTTTTAATTTTAAAACATCTTTAATTTGGTTTGTTGAATGATTGCGATTTATCTTTGCATCAAAACATTTGTACCGTGAAATAAAATTTTCATGTTTGGGTGCACGCCAAAAGCGTTTTTGTCTTTAAATTGAAAATACCAACACGTTGCGCATGTTTGTGTTTAAAATTTTTTGTAGATTAACAGCAGTATAGTTGCACATTTAATACATTGTTCTTATTTGTTTAAAGTGAACTGCTGTGCAGTGTTCGATGATCACACAGAACAATTCGTGATCCACAAATTATTGTTTCGGGTCAGCGGGTGGCCCAGGCCAGAGCATATCCACGTGTGATTTGTATGTAAACAATCCACGACAAATCCTAGTGTGGGGCAACTGATTAATGCAAAAAACGTGGTGATTTCACAAACCTGATGTTTCACCGCGTGAGCTTTGAGACTGGTAGCGGTGGAGAACAGCCTCCCGCAGCCAGGCTCCGGACAGGCGTGGGGCCGCGCCCCCGAGTGAGTGCGCCCGTGAGCCTTCAAGTGATGTGACGCCGTAAACGACTTACCACATCCTTCTGTTCGACATCTGGAATTTAATTGATAAATTCGTAATTTAGTAATAATGTTTTGTTATACTTTGTCTTTATCCACTGGTTATCAGTTACTAGCTTCTGCCCGCGACTTCGTACGCGTACCATCCCATTTTTCCCGTCCCCGTTCGTGATTTTCGGAAAAAAGTAAAAAAAAAATTTTGGTTAAAAAGTATCCTATGTCGTTCTCCTGGCTCTAAACTACTTCCCTACCAATTTTTAGCCAAATCTATTCTGCCGTTCTTGAGTTATAAGTGGTGTAACTAACACGACTTTCTTTTATATATAGTATAGATTAGTCAGATATTATATACTATCAATATTCATTACTAGGCTTCATAAAACGTCAGGACTCGATAAAATTAACATCCATTCACCTACTTAGCAAACACCAATAAATTCGCCTTATTAATGCCCTCATAAAAATCACCTGGACTAATCAAGGTGCGAAAGGTAAGCTCATGGTTAAATATGTAGACATTTACAAAACTAAGTACCAAATACATGTCATCTGGCCACATGCCAACAAACACTTTCTAGAAGCATTTGGCAGTACAACAGCGGTAACATGAGACCTACAACGTTACCAATTTGTCATGTCAGTCGTTTCTAAAATTATGGTCCAGGTAGACATTGACTGATGATAGTGATGATATTAGATGATAATTCAAAGACGGTGGACAGATGTTTCGCAATGTACGAATATAATTTAATCCCTGCAGTCTATGACACGGTGTCGGCTTCATTCGGTTGTGTTGGACAACTGTTAATATTGTTAGACTGTGGTTTGTTTTGAGATCCACTTTCGTTAGAGATATATGTAATTACTTGCTTTTACACGCGGCTTCGCTCGCGTCACAAAAGAATAAAAAGTAGCCTATGTGACATATACCAATACACACAGCGCCATCTATACCAATACTTTTGTTTTTCCTCGGGAATATCAATTTTTCCGGGTTAAAAATACCCTATTATTTAATCCGGACTTCTAACTTTACGTCTGCAAAAATTCAAAGCAATCGGTTGAGTAGTTACGGCGTGAAGGTGGAACAAACAAACAAACTCACTTTCATATTTATAATATTAGTAAGGATATTGCATCGAAATCCAGCACAGAGCTATGTTATTAGATGGGGGCAAAAGAGAAGACTGATCAACTAATCGTAGGTAATCAATGCCGTCCATGGACACCAGAGAGGATTCTACTGCGTTGGTGATCATTTTAAAAAACAAATACGCTCTTTTCTCGAAGGTTCATAGGTCGTATCGGTTTGGACAGATAGTAATCGACAGCTTTTATTTAGACTTTGAAGTAAGTCTCTATGTGATGATATTTGCTGTAACAGTTTAGGATTTTCGTTAATCATAACATAACATCACGCCTTTTAACAACGCCCGAAGGGGTAGGCAGAGGTGCACACAGAAGCAACACCCAATTTTCACTATTTATGTTATAAGTCTCATGTAATAAGGGAGAGCCTATTGCCATATACCAGGTACATTTCCTGTCTCCGTGCTACTACTGAGATTTTTTTTAAAAACCCATTTATACTTTGCCCGACCTGGGCATCGAATCCGAGACCCCTTGCCCGGCAGTCGCACTTGCGACTACTCGGCCATCGAGGCAGTAATTAATGTATAATAAAAAAAATTAAAAGCAAAGCTTCATCATTTTGCCTTTGTCATAATCACAGTTCTACTTACATAACAAAACTTCGACCACTTGGACAACGAGGCAGTCGTTATTATATTATATATAGAGAGATTTTCGTTAATCCTAAAATATTTTTATCATTTATACAAACTAGGTACTTAACCTTATTTATTTTGTAAAATTAAACCGATGAATCAAAGTGTAATTTAGATATTATTTATAATACCTATTGCCTATATCTCATTAGATAAGAAAGTTAATATAAAATATTTTCCATTTTGTTGATTATTATTATAATACTATTTGAATGACAAAGCAGAATTTTAGCGAAATATTTACAGTGCGTAGTAACATAATATAAATTGCCCTAATTACCGACAAAAAATACAATTTTTTTTTTTTTGTATTTATAAACGTGTAATCTAATGACTGCCTAATACAAGCCAGTTTATACCACTTATAGTATTATTTTGTATTTTTTTATTGTTTGAAGAAGGTTATATGCTATCTATTTTGTACAATTGTACATCACTATTATAATGATCAATTCAAAACTTACTATTTAAACGCCTCTAGCATATAATATTACTTATAAAAGCCTTATAATATTGCTTAAGTAACAATGTTTTAGTGAACAATTCCATTATTAGGATCATTACCAATGTGCCCATTCTATTAAAATGGTTTGCTAAAAACAAAAATGGTTGTTCAATTAAAAAAAACATCTTTTCGGGGTCTTATAATACCCAAATCCGTATTGAAATAAATTTATACGGCAGCAAATTTTTTAGGTAGTTAAACAATTTCAGTTCATAATACTACTGTGCTAAGCAATATAGATATTGGACTATGCCCAAAGTGCAATAGGCATATTTATTAACAAATCAGGGGATAGACAAGATAAAAGTATAAATAAAACCGCAAAATAAAATTATCAAATTATGAAAAACTGAAACTATTTATTCAGCAGATTCCCGCGTGACTAAAATATTGCATGACATTGACAGTTTATAATCTATGTTATCTATGTATAAGATACAGATTATGAATCAGTATCTTGTCTATGCTCACGTCCGCAGGTATATCAAGGTGATATAGGATAAATTTATAATATTTTTTATACTTATAAATAGCTCATGAGTACATATAGAAGTTAATGTTGTAATAAGTGATTTTGATTTTTATTAAGTAATAACGTCATTAAACCTAAGTTGGATGCTTTGACCAAGTGTGTTGTACAAGTTACATGTTCATTCTTTTTAGCAGTCTTTAACTTTATATCCCAAATATGTGTACAATACATACTTCTTATCGGGCCATTAAGTAGAAAGATATGTTTTCAATAGGACTAAATACTGATGATCTTTAATATTGAATTCTTACCTAATTAGAGGACTTTTTAAACCGTATACTTACTTGTACGGCCTCTCCTGTGTATGTGTTCGTATGTGTTTCTTAAGGTCGCTGAGGGTCGTGAAGAACTTCGTGCATCCATCTGCAGTGCAGTTAAAAGTGTCACCGCTGTGCAGCCGATGATGAGCCCTTAATCTGAAGATATAAAGCACAATTTTCAATACCCAAATTTACATATAATCAAATTTTTAAATTAATAGATATTTGACATAAATTCTATACGTGACTTTACAAAATAATATTAAATTTGTGGTACATAAGGTTCGTTTTCCTATTATAGGTAATATTCATAAGAAATCCATGTTAATTAGACATGTAAATATTTTGGACGTAAGCCTCGTTCAGTACAATGTTGAGAATATAACATTATGTTTAACACGCATATAAAATCGTGTAGCAGTATACAGACACACATAAATTTTACGTAATTGTGGTTGTAATAACGGATGAAATAATAGACACGCGAGATAACCGTTTTCAGGTTAGACTTAGATGAAAGAAACCAGTCTCTTTGATGCTGCGATAGTTGATGTATACGATTCTGGATTTTGATGAATTATGGTCGAGTATTTGCTAAACAGCTAGCCGTAATGTAATACGGCGGATTATACAATTCGCCTGTGACATATCCATTGGATTTCTCTATAGGAACCATGCGACTTTGTGAAAAAATAGATATTAGGTACATTCATTTCAATATCATTTAAAAACCATAACAATATGATGTGCGCTTCTTCAAGAAGGATTAAAAAGCATGGACTATTTTCATCTAAATAAAGAATTATATAAAATTGCACATTCAAAAAACAACTTATAGCTAAAGATATTCGCTTTACCGGTCCAGTGCTAAGGCCATGAACGATAGAATTGAACACGAGATCTAACATCATAATTGAGTTTATTGAACTTCGCTAAATGCTCTCCGCTAATTGTTCTACTAACAAACAGGTGCGCCATTTTTGCTGAGTAACTTCTGACGTTTGGATGAATTTTATCTATTAGATTATTATGTTATAGTGACTATATATAACGACTAATATAGACAGTGATGTAATGTCCTTATCTCGTTACAACGGGTTATCTACTAACGCTACGGCTGATTTCTTATCAGTCACGCCCAAACATTTGGTAATGAAAATTTTGTAGGTTTCGTCTTGTAAGTTAAGGTGAGATCAAAATATACAAGGTGTAGTTTTGAAACCGTTTCATTTCTCGGCATTTCATCGGTCATTCGTGGCATGTCACAGAAGTCATAAACGTTCAATGTAAGAGAAAATTTCGGGACAATAATTAAAAATACGGCTATAGTAAATCGTTTAAGTTCGACAGTATTTCAGAATAAACGACAGCAATGTTTCTTATTGGAGTATTATGGAATTAAGCATAATATCAATTACGTGTTTGAGTTTGTGTGTGTTTTAGTTTTAGCCGCGTTATAAAGCTAGTTACAAGACGGCGGCGTGGACTTCGCACTTACGGATTTCAGTAATTTTAGTAAAATGAAAAATATTTACCTGTAATTTTTTTTATTGATTCGGACTCAATCTATTGCCAAGTTACCTCCTAGAAAATGACGCGGCTTTAAAACAACACCTTGTATTTAGGACTAGCTGTTGCTCACAACTGCGTTCGCGTAGAATAATGTCCACTGGCAGAATTTAGGCTTTTGAATAAGTCTTTATCAAGAGAATATTTTACGGTAACTAATGTCGTCAGAATTGATTCAGTACCTAGTACAGGGCTCCTCCCTCCTGGATGATACTGATGATAGCAATATTAGATATTAGAAAATCATGTTAGTACTGCAGATTGTAGGTGCACCTTCAAAACAAAGATTAGAATGGAATAACACCAAGACACGACTGATAACGTTAACAGAAGAAGTTACTATAGATCTGTTAACAAATTATTTTTGTAGTTTTGTTATTTACCAACGATAATAATGATCCGAGTTATTAGATCGCTACGTTTGTCACCTCTGCTCTACCCGAGAGTTTTATAAGAGCTGAGTAAATGACATTTAACAGATGACCGGGCAACAACGGCTTTTGAAAAACCAAAATATTTCAATTTGCGATTTCCAACCATACCAACTCCCTAGGAGGCTCATAGGTCAGTAGTGGCCTGCCTCGTAAAGGATTGTTAATGCTGATACGGCTTAAATTGTAGAACTTAAACAAAACTATCAAAGGAATGAAAAATAAGTGACCTTGACTGATAAGTGTCGTATTTAAATCAGTTATGGTTGATATTATACCACATAAATAAATTGGGAGATTTTAAAATGCAATATCAACAATCAGCGATTATTTGAAATCAAAGTTTAAAGGTAATTTCATTATGAAAAACAAAGTTGAAATCTTCAGAATAACTTTTACAAAATGTAAACAAACTAGTTAGGATGGAATCGCTAAGAATCATCTAGAAGGCGACCACGGTGAAAAAGTCATAGACTTACACAAAAGTTAGTTTGACTTGATGCCCTTTGGGACCGTTTATTTTTCGGGGAGGGAGGTTTATCCAAAAAGTTTAAGTCAATAGCATGCCAGGACGTTTGGCGTCTCGAATAGAAAAAAAATTTAAGGACTCATTTTCTTTATAGATTTTTGGAACGAATCAAACTAACTATAAATAAGCAAGTAACAACAACAGTTTATACGTGTTTCTTAACTCTTAACGATTAAAATAACTGTGCTACTACAGATTTTTATTTATGTGACTTGCGAATACGACAATAATATTGTTATCAACCTTATCACTTTTACGTTGGGAACACGCGAGGCGGTAAATTCCGAGATTAGAGGCAAAGGTAATGTGATATGCGGTTATATCAAGGGCTAATATGAAAAGATTTTTATGTCAAGTTTTAGCGATGTGCTAGCCTTTAGTCTAGCCAAATTGTGTAAGGTAGGTTCAGTCGCAAGCATCATCGACAATTTTACTAATGGTCGGGCTATTAATGAGGCTCCTCGACATTGGACTCTTTTGTCAAAATTCACACTTGGCAGTCGGTTGGAGACCGCATTTTCTTTAGCTTTTGATAATTTTGCTTAAAAAGAACGTTGCTTTATAAAGTATAGCGCTATAGTGCAATGCCTAATACATGAAATGGTCATAATTCGAACAAATCTCAACAGGAAAATTTCGCATTTGTGACGTAAGCCCACATTAAAATATTGTCTGTTTCTCATTAGCAGAAAAAAACAAAACTGATTGGGAAGTAGGCGTTCTATTTTATATATATTTTGTGTCTGTATTTTATGTTTGTTTTTTAAATATTGGATTCCAATAAACAATAACTCGGGTGACCAGTTCATCAACTTGAACCCCGCACTAGTGGAACTCACCCACACTATCTAAAGCAGTAGGGGTCAACTATTTGAGATTATTCTTTGTGTGCAAAATTTATCTTAACAAATACAAATTAGGGTTGTTTTTATATTCCTCGATTATTTTTGGCAAGAGATTACTATGTTTACATACGTTTATTTTTCCATTCTTATCAGTATCCATAGATTGTTCGATTAGATTTAATATTTATGGCAGCATTACTATTATCAGTGCTCTCTGTGTTTCAACAACTACGTACTTTACAATATCGTTCATTGTTTATAGGAAAGCTTTGAAGAAAAATTAGGAGATTGTTCAATTCGCAAATTAATTAATTTTGGTCTGTCGTTTAGATTTAGATGTTAAAGAAAATAATATACGAATTTCTTCTTTGGATATTTCATAAATAGAGGCGTCCATACACAATTATTTTTATGTCTCAAGACTTATGGGTTGAAGCCGTAAATGATAGATATTTTGATCAATACAGTTCAGTCTTATTTTTCTAAGAACCCAACTATTATGTACTCTTACTCATTAGCCACGCAAAATGCTTGTATCATAACACATTTTATGGACAAACACATCTTTATTAACAACACACGAGAACTGTTGTTGCTGTTTTCTCAAATCTATTGGCAAACTTCCAAAGACATAAATTACTAGTGCTTTCTGACTCATCGTGATATGTTTGAATTTTTTATTATTTATTATTACATTCGTCCAAAAATCTGATCGACTTGCTATGTTCAATTCTTGTGATTGTGTTGTATACATATCAATATGTCTTCTTTAAATGCATTGCGAAGGCCATATTATATCATTTCATCGTTCGCTATGCGGTTCCTGGTACGTGCAGGCAAAATAAAAACCCTCTGGAGACGTCTTTACGTGCTAATGTGGGATTGAAAGTGAAAACGCATGGGTAATGTTTACTCGTATTAATTAAACCATAGTGGAAGGATTTTACATTTTAGTTTTGTTAAAATTGTAAACCGCTTTTTCCGGTACCTATAGTTTGAGTTTCAACTTTCAGAAAATCACCTTAAAAAAAATCAAATAATTAAAAGTGGAAGTTACTGTTAACAGTGCCGGATTGGACACGCCGCATAAAACGAATGGGCCCCGTACAAAAATAAGGGGCCCATCAATAGAATTTCCTACGGGTGCCTCATACGCCTGTATTGTATGACAAATCTGCCTCTGGTACAAGACATGAGTGATTATTATTTATGGTCTTTTTTATTATTTAGCCTGACATGTAGAAGACAAAAATTTACACACTTTAGACACTCTTTGTAGATATTATTATTATTATGTATGTCTTTACCATTCACGGGACCACAGGGTCCCGGTCATTTGGAAGGCGTACGAGGGGCCGAAGCCAACTGCGCAGAGGCCCTTTAGACAACTTTAATATAAATGTAATGGACACACAAACCGGCGACTATCCCTGTATGCACTATGGAAATGCACCCAAGGACAGTCCCCGGTTAGTGTAGGACTATTGTGAATAATGGGAAAAAAAAGGTAGGGCTATGGATGGGTTGCTGTGGACTGGTAAATTGGGAACTATGGATGACTATGGCACCTGCCGAAACAATGTAATTTTTACACGTAAAAATGGCAGGCGGAGACTCGCCAACTCACTGACCGGGCCCCGGAAATGGTTGCTAGATATAGCAACAGAGGGGCAACGAGAATGTGAGTGGCTGAAGGGTTAAGAAACTACCACCGCTTTCTACTCAGATCATCTGCTCCAGCCGAAGCCTCCTGCATCCCTGGCCCACTCGCGACTTACGAATAGTTTCTTACCCTCCGAGCAGGATCACTGCTCTCGCGACTCCACTCTGGCCGGCCAGTGAAGGCAAGCCAGAGGTGGGAGACCTGTTCCTTGTCATCTTTCACTCCAGCCAGCCAATTAAGGCAAGCCGGAGAAGAAGGAACGGTGACTTCTCCCTGGAGCACTCGGGATGATGGTAGCCCGCGGGATCGCTAATGCCCGTCACCTCGCCTCAAGGTGCCCTGCGGGCTTATTATTATTATTATTACCATTTATTTCAATCAATTACATAGATCATTAATTACACATTACAAACCATAATACAATATAAAAGTCACAGTCACATATCAAAAATCACAATCACAAGTCAGTCATCACTAAAATAATCTCCCAACTCAAAACAATAATTTCACATTAGCCAGTACATGAACCATACAACAGTGGTTCATGTACTGACAGTCAAAACGTTCAGCAAAGGCGCTCAGGATACTATTGCGGCTGCCCCGCACCCTGTTCACTAATGACGTGCACCGCTTGCGCATGATTGTGTTGAAGCAGTCTACCCGTGCGCTGGCAAACATACCCGATGCGCTACAAAAGCGAGGCAGCCCCAAGATATGTTTCGAACCTTTCATTTCTTTCTAATTGTAACGATCTATCCTATGAGCATGTCGCGGAGAACTTAAAGGGTTACCGGGGCTCTGACTCGAAGTGCAGGAGTAGGAACGGGGTGGTTTTTAGTCAGTAAGAGTCTGACACTTCCGCCCTCCTCACCCAGGCGGGAGAAGTCATTCGATGATTCCCCCCTTTAAAAAAATCCTATTCATTTTCTTGTTTATGTTTTTTTTTGTTGATGAATACACAAGTGCTTATTTATTTATAACGAGTGTATGTCATACAAAAAACTCAAAAGTCTTCTAAAGCTTCTAGTGGTAGGCAGCAAAAAATCGTCCGATTTAGAAGTTAGGTACGATTGCTTTTGACGCAATTATTGACACACCGCGCACGCCTAATAACATTGTTATTACGCATCTCTTCGCGCGTTGTCACGATTTCCCAAAGGTCGTATAGTACATAGTAAATTACAATCACAAAAATATTTATATTTGCGTAGTTAAAACAACGACTCGAATCCCACTTCTTTATCTCTATATTTTTTCATTCAAACGAATCGTTTAAGATATTGTTTATCTTATCATATCGTTATACGGAAGAACGTTGTTCAATGTATTATGTATAAAATAAAATATAAACGATAGAATATCTAGAAAAAAGCTCCAAATTAAGTAAGTTTGAATGCTGCATTAGCGATGGGTATGGAAACATTTTCGAAAAATCATCAGCTCCAAAAATATCTATATTTATGTTCTAAAGGATAGGGTTTTTACGTTTACCTCAAGAATATAGTACTGAATCATGATGTCATGTTTACAAATATCTTGTACGACATTATACGTAGGTATTTTATTTAGCAACTTAATTGACTAACTAATTAAAAGCCTAGTCGTCAGTAAGCATTTAGTCTTTCTTAACAATATATACCTACAATTCCTTGATAACATACTACGTGACAAGGAAAAATTAACATTGTAATAATATTTTTTATTTATGTTTAAGTGCGATGGAACCAAAAATCTTGTAGTATAATCAGTGGCATGATTTGAGACAGACGTGTCGCTACTTGCAAAAAGTTAAAAGTTCATATGAGTAATTTATATCATTTATTTCAAGAGACCCCAGAAGACCCCTTGCGTAAGATTCTAAATTAATCGTATTTTTGTTTTTAAGTGTAGTAATTGGGGAATCAACAAAAATATTTTAGTATGATCAGTGGCATGACTTGAAACATACGTGTCCCGACTTGCAAAGTCATAGGTTCCTAATAACGAGCAAGTTGCATCATTTAGTTCAAGACCTACTAGGACCCCTTGCGTAAGATCCATTTTTTTCGTCTTTTCTTTTTAATCTGGTATCTGTTTTTGTACCAGTTCTGTATAATTGCCTCTTGTTCCACTATGTTTACTTTTGTACGGCAAAAAAAAACTAAGAATAAGCCGTCGAACACTGTTTACCGTCTCTATTACTTCTGTAGAGCAGTTATGTTATAGATTCCTTGAAATTTGAAACAAGCCGATGATTACTACTAGAAAAAATAGCATATACGGCAAGCATATTGAAATGAAACAATTTAAACACTATAACATTTTCGAAAAAACATACCTGTATAATGTGTTGAAGGCTTTTCTGCAGGAACCTATGGTGCAAGCGAAAGGTTTCGCTTTCGTGTGCGCGCGAATGTGTATCTTCAGACTGTATGACGTTAGAAATGCTTTCTCACATGATTGCATCGGACATTTGAACCTGTATTCACCTGAAACGAAAACGAGAAAAACATATTAGAACTAAGATTTATGTGGGGTTTCCCAATGATGAATATTGTATTAGCGGTGTCTAATAAAAAGTGGACGGAATAAAGAGGTGACGTCAGTTTTATTAAGAGGAACAAAAACCCACCGGAATAGAGTAAAAAAGGAAATAATGCACACTAATTTCTATCCTGAACGCAGCAGGATTGCTGTATTAGTCATTACGACGAAAGAAATTGTAATTGAATGACAAGGGCACGGACAAGAGTGCGTGGAGAACAAGAAATCTAATAAACATAAAAAAAAAACATCATTTAAGAGATATCTTTGAGTTACGTTTCGGAATTCCTTTTTGGTAAGTATAAAAATAGAAAAAGATTATGAGTTTTTGACAAGTGTATGATCAGAAATAAGGAGAATTCTTAATTTAACCAACCATTTCAATCAGAACATTAGGTAAGAAATTACCTAAGATTTTATCAGATAAGAATATTTTTATACACGTATACCTAATAGGTAGTCGTTTTGGCATGATATGACTAATGTCCTTTGTGTAGATAAACTCGGTAGGTATCTGAATAGTAGATAAGTTCAGTTCAAGATGTCATCGATGTAACATTATATTATGTTATTTAACGCAACATATGGTAATATGACGACACCAAGGAAAGTAAGCTATCTACTTTCTATGCGAATCGAGTTTCAATGCAAAATCTCTTCCTAGGATAGTGTATCAAGTTCATTGTGGTTTAGTAAGATTGTTTAGAAGATATGATGATGTTATTGAAGTACCGGGTACAAATTTTAAAATTTGAAGTGTTTGGGAAATCAAAGTTTGGCATAATTTGGATGTTCGGCTTACATTTGTATCTTTTACAAAATTCTCTGACAGGAATTTCGCGTATACCTGTATGTTACCAGTTTGAGAAAGTGTAACGCAGAACACAGAGCGTGGGTGACAGATTAACCCACTAAGTATGTTCATATACAGTTTTCGCAAAATCATTTTGGTTGCGTTACGCATAACCGTTGTGGGACCAATCACTAGCAAAAGATGAATGAATTTCACGAATGTTTTGACCACTTCACTGATTCTCAAAGATGGCACCGTCCTGACTAGGGTACTAACTTAGTAACGTCACTAGTGGAAGACAACAGAAGATTAGATAAAGCTTAGATATTTGTGAGACTTTGGGTTTCGCAAGCCTAGCCGAAAAAAGAAGAATAAGAACTTCATGCAACCAAAATTCAAACGATGATTTAAATGAATGAATGAATGTAACTTAAGAAGGCAAATTTAGGCACTCACAAAAAAAGCGCTATAATTATAATAATTTGATTGATTGAGTATTAGGTCAACTAAACGGAAAACCCCACAAAGCCATGTACCTACGTTTATTAAACTATGGTACTATCACGTACACCGATTATTGTTTGGATTTCTTTTGCTGCCCATCTTGTATTTAAAAAAAAATAACCGATTTCGATTTTTGGGTTTATGACCTGAGCTACACATCTATCCAGGGATTGAAGTGAATTACTTTTATATGTGTACATGCCCCTGTTATCACCCTGACCATAAAGTTCTACTACAAATGAGACCACATGCAGTCACAATTCATTGGACGAGGTCATGTCCACCAAAACAGCCACGTAATGGTATAACATTGTGATAGTAAGTGAATGCTTTGTTTCGACGCTTGCGGTCAGTGTGTGGGAGGTGACTAGCTATCTATACCTGATTAATGTTACCATTTGTAACTCAATGTAAAGTAATTATTTATCTAATCAATATTTTATAAACACGGCATCATGATTATCAGAAGTAACTATTGTTGCAGTGGTGGAAGTGTGGAACCGACATTTCTTTTTTAGCTAGTTTTTGTTATTCGTCCCATGTCCCATAGTGACAAGATGAGCCTATAACGCTTAACGTTGGATACAATTTAAGATAGAATCTTAACAATAATGAGATTACAAATCGTAATTAAGCTTTTATGAATGTATGAATAAAAGTTATCAATGTTAGATAAAATAGATAGGGTTTCCCCAGCAAAGATTGGACCTTGAGATTGTGGATGATGTGGATTGAATTGAATGTGTAGAATTTTTATCTAAGCACTGTGTAAAAATAAAGAGTTGCAAACCAATCTTATTCAGCGTTCAGTGACCAAGTATGACAGAATAATATCAAATCATGATTTAAATGTGATAGAGATAGTAAAAAACGACAAGTTCATTTAGAATTTAGAGTACTTATACTTAACATCCAGTGTCAAAGCCTTAAAAACCAGAATTGGCACATGGATGAAACCCAATAGTGAAAATATTTATTTTTATACAGGAAGGTGAAATGATAATAGACCGTCTTGAATGCATTGCACCTGATTAGCGAATGTTTCGATAATTTCCATCACTCATTCTACAGCGATCCTATCATATTACATCAATATTTTGTGATTCTGATAAACATACATGTAAATTACAAGACACGCGATTATACTTCAATGCAATTTGAAATCCGTAGCTCGGTTTAGCCACGTAAGCTATTTAATTAGTTATAATAACCATTGGTTATAGTAACAAATTAATTATCAAAGTGACAACTACTAAAACACCGGTAATTTACCTACGCAAATGAAATAAAATTAAATCTGTGCAATCATTGCATTTAAATACTTAATAATTAATTGGTAACTGCATTGGCAAAATAAACCTACTAATTCACACTACCCAAAAAGGAGGTAAGTTCCTATAAATAATACCTGCATGGTTAATTCAATGTTATTTTATATCTACTTTAAAAAGTCACTAGGTACCTTATTTCAATTATTATGATTGTACTGTGTAATCAAGCAAAGGTTGGTCAATAATATAATAAGAGTCACATGTTTTCAAATCATGAAAAAATCTATAAAAAAATGGATAACATAATAGGTACCTATACCTTTAATTGGGTGAACTGACTAAGAAAACATACTGTTGTCAATCTGGTTTGAGGGCAATACATGACCAAGTTATCTGTGTTATCACACAAAACCAGAATTGGTCAGTATTGCACCAGTGTTAAAAATTACAAATCACTAAACAAACAACATCTGACGTGTTATTTCTGGTTGTTGGTATCGATGGGCAGATTCTGATTGACGTCGCGAAGTTTGTGAATCGATGAGGCGGAATCAGAACTAACCATAGATATAATAAAGTTTAATATTTCTGTGGAACTAACGGAGTTTTTTTTTTCACTTTCCACGTCAACGTCAGGGCCCCTAGGGCCGATGCACCCGCGTGCTTACCCAATCCGACCCTGCCTACATGTACTAAACTAGAAATGGAAACAAAATAAATTTATGTCCCTTTTTCGGTACAATAAAATGACTATTAACGTAAAGATTTTAATACAATCAATGATGATGTAACCAATTTAGGTAAGTAATGAAAAAAAAATCATCGTCATCAATTCGATTGTCATAATAATTTAATACACCGTAAATCCCTATTACAGTAAAAGATAGGTACTTTAAATACCTATTGCTTGTTCTTTTGTTCGTGATCATGCGTGCCATGATCCAAGCAGCATAATTAAATTAACTATTAAATACTTTTACCAACGCATATTCCTATGGATAAGTAACTTAATCAGTTTTGTCTCTTAGCAACACGTATGGTGCGTAGGTACGTACATAATTTTGTGACTCAAAGTTCCCATTCCCAACCACTTACAAGTAACCTAAGTCCTAACCCTACCTAATAAATTCTGTTGCTGCGTTAAATTCCCATAAGGAAATTAAATATTATGTTTTTGTAACTATTAGAACTATTAGATATTAGAAAAACTGGAACATCCCTATACATACATGTCCTTGAAGTCGACTCCCAAATGGCACCAGAAGCCGTATGGTGGCACTGGCAATAAACGTAATTTTCAAAAACCCTGTATAAAATTTAACCTCGTTAAATCTACCTCTAATGAATTATCCTAACTTTTCACACGTTAAAATTGAATTTTGCGTCAAAATTGGGTTTTTACTTTAAATTAATAACATTATGGTAGTAGGAAAAATAAAAATTTAATTAATTTAATACATGAATGAATGTGTGCTGCACGTGGTAAGTAAGTAGGTACGTAAGTACAAAGGTATAAAGTTGATTTCATTCATATTTCTTGGATGAATAACACAACAACCGCAGCCGAAACTTAATAAGAAAATTATGAGAATTCGACACACTTTAAAATATTGACAGTCATGTCATCGCCTGATCACACTAATATTATAAATGTAAAAGTTACTTTGTTTGGATGTTTGTCCGTCAATCACGCGGAAACTACTGAATGGATTTTGATGTAATTTGATATACAGGCAGGGTATGGGCTGACTTACGTGATAGGATATATACTTTTTATCCCGATTAAATGCTCCCATACGATAAAACATTAATCATATTCTACGCAGACGAAGTCGCGGGTAACAGCTAGGTTGTTATAAAAGGAATGAAAGTGTTGATTAAGTAAAATCAGTAGCGTCTTTACCATAAGGGCACTCGGACCCGTGGCCAGGGGGCCGATAATTTCTACGACGCACACATACCCACTACAACAACTACAGCTACAGCTTGTAGCACGTTCGATTCCCGAATGGAGAAAATCTTTGTGTGCTCCACAAATTGTTGTTTCGGGTCTGGGTGTCATGTGTATGTGAATTTGTATGTAAACGCACCCACGATACAGGAGAAAATCCTAGTGTGGGGCAACGTTTTTTATATAAAAACAAAAGATAAATTAACAGTCTTATATTAATTTAACACAACACAACATCACGCCGTTTATCCCCGAAGGGTTAGGCGGAGGTGCACATAGAAGTAACACCCACTTTTCACTATTTATGTTGAGTCCCATGTAATAGGGGGTGAGGGCACATTTCCAGACTCCGTGCCACTACAGTTTTTTTTTAATCCCAGTAATACTTTGCCCGACCCGGGAATCAAACCCGAGACCCTTGCCCGGCAGTCGCAATTGCGACTACTCGGCCGTCGAGGCAGTAATTTATGTATAATAAAAAAAAAGAATATTAAAAGCAAAGCTTCATCATTTTGCCTTTGTCATAATCACAGTTCTACTTACATAACAAAACAAATGTTTGTATATTAACATAATATGCTAATTTTAATAGAACTAGGCAGAACATGTAAATGTATGAATAAGACAAATCCGTCAGCTTCTAACAAGTTCTCACTTTTCATAAAAGATCTTATTAGAGCACAACATTTACTCTGATCTCAATTCTAATGTCATTACATTTAGGTCATTAATTCTTTATCACAAGTGTAAGTTTATCACTTTTAAGTTTTAATTAAGTTCATGGGAAGTTTCTGATAAGTACTAGTTATATAATCATTGTTTGTTGTGTTACTATGTGTAAAAATATGCATGTAGTCATTGTGTGGTTAATTTGCATGAATATAAACATTTATTATGACCATAAAAGTCAATAGATAAATATAAGGCTCAAGAAGACAAAATAAGCATGGAGTTTTAATTTGAGTATTGTGTAGATATAGAAAAAGCTTGTTATGGTATGATATAATTGATGGGTAAACTAAGAAGCATTGTGTACAAACTACATTTGAGGCTGAATGATCTCACCCTTGTGTGTTTTCATGTGTGTGCGCAGGTTTCCGACAGTGCTGTATGTGCGTTCACAACCCTCATATTCACATTTGTACCTCGCACTGCTGTCCTCCGGCTTCCTCTTGCTCTTATCCATGTTAGAAGCGATGTCAACATTCGAGTTTTGCAAGTCCGATACTGAGTCATCGTGGCTGAAAAAGAAGTTTATATTTCATTGTTATCTCCAGAGGGTATCAAATATCTTCACATTGATATGGACTTGGTAATTGGCATCTAAGTGGCAATAACAAAAGTAAACATTAACTCAAACAACAAGAAAAGTGATGTCCCTAGTAACAACATGGAATCATATGAAGATGACTGGGAATTATATTGAACAAAATTAGTTCTGGAACAACATAGGTTAGTGGAGTGGTTTAAAGTTACTGCACTGGTATGGTGTTATGCTGGTATAATAGGCTGCACTATCTGAAGTACTATTATTTAATAACATACCTCTCACTCGCTTTTCAATTGTGTACTCATTGGAGAACACAAAATTAGGATATTCGCATCACATCGTGATGGTAAGTAATGTACCAAAATAGAATGCCCAAAAACGATACATCGTCTAAAAGACCACTTATATACAATCCCGTAAGTGCGAGAGAGATGGAACACTATTGACAAACAGCTGATTGGATCAAATTGAAGGCGAGAAGTAAAAAGCGGCTAAATACGCAATAAAGGATATTCATGTATTTTAAGTAAAGGAAAGATATTTATGTACAAAATGGAACTTACGATGGGAATTCTATTGAATTTTCTGCACTGTTGTCCTTGGAATTTATTTCACTTTCCGACGTCACTGTGCTTCCAGAAGCTTTTTTGTCGTAATTATGCACTTGAAAACTATTAAACTTTGCGTCCAAATCATGATATTTTAAACCGGAATTTAAATTGTCTGTAAATTGTCCAGAAGTAAAGTTCATAAAACTATTTTGTGTAAAGTTATCAAATCGGCCGCTGTCAGGGGGCCATGCGGCCATGTTTAGAGTTAGTGTTGTTCCGTATCACAAGACGAACTGTCATGCGTTGTTTTGTAAAACCGGCAAAGAGGATTCGGCAAATAAACTCGTATTGCGTAAAACAGATGGCGCTAATGTCAATCGGCCATAGAGAGAGCTACCGCTATGGAAGGCAAAGTAGGCGCCCGTACCCGCTCTGAGGACTCCCGGCGTAACTCCCGTTATAATGAACACCACTTGTTGTCTGCGCGGGCAGTGCGTCGACCGCACGCCCTTCTCTCACGCGAATGTATCATCTTCACATTCGGACGATAATTCGCGTATAAAAGTGTGCCGCACAAATTTTATTGTTATTATTTATAGATTTTAATCACAGTTTAATTTATAAAAATGTGTTCAAAAAGTTTATCTATTTATATTAATTTGGTAAGTTATTATTTTAATTAATAATTTAAGTATTATTTTTTCTGTGGTCAATACAACAAGTTTCATTGCCAATTTATTAGATTATTAAGTAAAAAATGCCCTTTTATTCGACGTATAAATATTCTATGGATTATTTCTTATCAGCGTGTACCACTGTTGTTGACTTATTTTGTGCCCTCGTTTTTTGAAGTGAGATAAGGAACATTGTATTTTACTTTGAAACTATGTGCATTCAAAACTTTATAGGTACCATAGGTACTAGGTATATCAGAAATTATGAAATCACATATTTTAAATGTCGATATTAATTTAAAATAAACGATTGGATTTGACATTATTAAAGTCAGCTTTTTAATTATTGACCTCCATTATTGGACAACAAGAAGTTGGTGTGATAAATTAGCATAATATTTTATTGTTAATTAACAGGCAATACATAAACTAGTAATAAAATTATAAAGCTGCCTATCGTAAGTCATACAGTGCATGGTTGACTGACTGACTCATTGCCTATGCATTTAGAGCGAACAAGCGCTCAGGAGATAGGTAAAAAAGTATAAAACAGTGGGTGAAGTTTATCTTTATTTACTGTTACCCACGGCACCCATTCGCCGTCTAGGCGCATTAACGTATCATTAGTTGAAGGTTGCTGACCGACATTATGTTCTATATCTTGACGGCTATCCGCAAAAGGAAGTTGGAAACTTTCATGTAAACTGATATCATAAAACGATGATTCTTTAATCTACTTCGCTTTAAAGCCATTATGGTCAGCTTTAAGCTGTTGCTGTAAGTAGCCCAACATTTAGATTTCACACTGAATTTGCACTGTTTTCAAAATCTAATCCATAAACCTATCAGATGTCTTGAACATTATTTTGATTTTTAATGACAATCATGAAGTCATTGCCCCAAAATCATATATATATAAAAATACCAATTCAACTTGATTATTTACATGCCTATGCAGTATCAAGCGTAAACTTTCATACATGCCATATTGCAAACTAACATAACAATCCTGTACCTATCCACATTATGTTTAACACTGCAGCGACATGACAGAGGCGTTTACATGTAGGTAGGTAGGTAGTTGACATTGTAGTAGAAAGTGGTATGTCTAGTAAATATTAAAATGCATGACTAAGATTTGATAACGTGCCAAAATAAACAGAGAAACTATTGAAAGCATGCACGGTAAGTGTTTCAAGCTTTCGAGATCTCTCTGACTTACACTTCTTTGGGTAAAAAAATACCATGACCATGATCGTTACTACTCGGAAATTGAGCTTCAAAATCGTTCAAGAACGTGTTGTCCATTACAATAGACTCAAGAGACCAATGAACACTTTCGCTGCTTTTTCTTTATTCAAATTTCACTTTTGATCTATTCCTTGTGTCCACTGAGACTTTCAGTGCATATTATAATAAAGTAATCGATCCCAGGAGAGCTAATATTGCATCAAAGGAAGCACCGTGGCTTGAATAAATACATTTTGAAAAGAAAAACTGTGATGCAATCTGTATGCATTAAGAATATTAAATCGATAAGTCTGCATAAAATATTAAATATGCCAAATAACATGTCTTCATAGGACCAAGCAAACCTGCAGCTTCACTTTTGAAACTAAAGAATGCTAATTTAATGGAAATTTAATAAGTCAATATACACCTGACACTAGCCTGTATACGAAGTGAGTTCAATGACATGTTATTCACACATGACCTAGAAATCTGACACTGACACTTTCTTCTTGAGGGACTTTTCGATTCATTGCACATCACTACGTTACCCTTTCGTTTCCAATGAAATGAAATTAACTCCGGAAATGAATAATAATTTTGGAATTTGGTAAATTTTCGAAATCGGAACGAAAACTTCCCTAGAAGTTACTGTTTTGAAAAGATTAAGGTACTAATTGATTATTATTCAATCGATTTTTTTTAATAAACTTGTGCATTTTTATTCAAAATAATAACACTTAAAACATTTTTTTAAAACAGTGTATTAATTCCATGTGTAAAATCCTGTTATTATTTCAAGTATTGAGTATATAATTGCTTAGTCATGTTTCTGGTTGGCTTCGAAACTTTTTTATTTACGATAAGCTTGCGATGTGCAGTTCCTGTGATAGCTATCGAATGGAATTAGACAAGAAAAAGGACTGGTTTTATTTGTCAAAGATGGCTCGTGGCAGAGGGATCTGTGTCATTCGGCCACGACACACATACCGCCCTGACGGCGACTCACGCGCCGACGATGAATTCGTGCGACCAATCATATTTTATTTATACAGTGACATACACAGTCAAAGGTACAGCAGGTTGAGAGGACAATATTACAGACAATGTTGAAATACTTTGTGAAGCATTAAAAACTTGAACGATGTAAAAGAATCGACATGTTTGTGTGGTTAAAATTGTGGTTTTAGATAGGCATTAAATTAGTGAATAACATATTTTCCCCGAAGTAACTTATGACTAGAAAATATGCATAATAAATTATGTGCGTGCACAACGTCCATAATTTTTCCTGATATTTTTTAACTTTTCTTTTCATATGCACATTCCAGGCTCTCGTAGCGTGCAGCGTGGTTGCAGACTGTGGTCCAAGATTGAAGTATGCGTGGGGTGATGCATTACAAGGAACAGATTGTCCAGGCCCAGATGGGACACCCTACCCTAGGTAATTAATTTACCGGTATTTTTACGGTTTTCAATTTTCAAGCTCTAGTCATAATCAAATCAAGTGACAAATTAATGTGAACCGTTTGTTTGTTCGAACGTAGTTAATGTGGAGTTAATAGGCACTTGAAATGTAACATTTTTGTTCCTACTATAAACAGAAAAGAAATATACACAATAACATAATTTTTTTATATCAAGTCAAGTCCAGCCAGATGTTACTGAGAAATGAGGAATAATTACTTACCTATTTAATTTGAAAACCAAATGTTAGGTAGCTACCAGGAATCTCTCATTATCTAATTACCTAGTTAATCAGATAATGAGTAAAGAAACGTGTTTAAAGTATGTAAAAGGTACGTATGGAAGCAAAATTTTTAACAACCGTATAATTTTTAACATATTATAGACATACTTATATTACGTAGTAGGTATTATTTTACTAGGTAGTACAAACGGTATGAACTTAGATTGACAACCATTTTCTGTTAGATTAAAATTTTAATAGTATTTTGAATGAATAGTGCGTCGTCTGTCACTAATTCTAAATACGGAACCAAATCGATAAGAAATATAATATAATCAAGTCTATTCGAGACCATACCATAACCGTAAAATCCGTAAACCGCCGATAGAAATGCTTGCTCCGGTACCTAACGCATTTATTATTATTTCTAACGGGATAAACTATGTGGTCCAAAGTTGATAACACGGTCGACGTTTTAGTGACAATGTGCTAATAAAACTTATATTTTAGGTATTCAATCGTGCGTAGGTAAATTCTACAGATAGCTTTTGTTTTTGGAAAATTAGATCTGCATAATAACAATACCATAAATAACTCTGTTACCTAAGTTTAACATTTTTAGGGCCAATTTTTCCAACGTCAGATAAAATATAATGCTAAGGAATAACTTGAATATATTTTTTTTTCTTCTTTGGCAACCGAGTCTCCAATACGATGTTGTCGACTATACTGCCAGTGTCGTGTGACATTTTTATTTATTAATTAGTTAATTTAACTTTGAATATTTTATTATTCCATATTACAAACTGTCAAATGTCAATTTTAATCTACTGCTAAGAATGATAATTAAAAAATCGGCACCTAACGTTTTTTTCATCTCTTGCTTCTAACAGCCTATGGACTATCATTGGCAATCAATAAGTACCCATATTATTATAATAAAATAGGATAGTAAATTTCCACGTAATTAAGCTACATAATTACTTATCTACCTACGTATAATTTAGACAAAGTAGACAAGCAACCGGTTCAATTAATTGACTGTGGGATGGGTAATCTGCGTTTCCACTAGTCGTTATCGAGTTTGTGCGTGCTAGAGAAAGACGGAACATATTTACTTGTGTTCGGCTTTGTCCGGTTTCGGCGCTCGGACAACTTCGGGCATTGACGCGCCCGCCATGCCATATTGCTATATTCGTGTTCTCGCTTCTCTCCTGTCAGCCAGTCAATATTGGTTAATTTTACTCGTGTGAAGTGTTTTGGTGTGTTCGCTATTAGTTTTTTCTCATATCACCCGATTATCTTGTGAATTATTGTATTCGAAATGACTGATAGCGGTTCGCAGCCTGATATACAAAATCCGAGCAATGAAGATGTCGATAGAGACGAGTTTTACCGGAGATTATGCGAAGTTTAACAAAAAAGGCATCGAATTCAGCATTGCTGTCACGTGAGAAATACTGTTGGTTTGTTGAAAAAATAAAATACGCAAAAACAGCTGTGAGGAAAACCCCAGCGGATTACCGTCGGTTGAAAAAGTTTGAAATTATTGAAACACCTGACGGAGAAAAGTTGTTTTCAGCTCGTGCTTTGGGCGATAAAAAGCGACAAATGTTTGTACCAATAGATGAAGTATATGACATTATAGCCGAGTATCACCTCAGGTTGAATCACGGTGGCCGTAGTCGTATGATGGTGGAGTTAAAACGTAAATATCGAAATGTCACTGCTGAGAGTGTTTTAGTATATTTGTCAATGTGTGCGACCTGTAAAAATAAATTACCCAAAAAAAGATCAAAACCAAGCTTAAATACGAGTGAAATTAGTGAGAATGTAACAGAAAGTTGTAACGACACTTCGTCTAACCCGATTTCCGAGTGCTCAGCCTCTAATCTGGAAATAGAACCTGAAGATTTACTACGAGCATTAAAATATTCAACTTATAAGAGTCCGGAACTTTACTCGCGCGGCCAAGTTGATATACTCAGCGTCACAAATGAATTATGCGAAGAATATAAATATCTGATGGTATATAGAAGCTTTATTTCCAAATTCATTCACTTGAAGGCCATGAAAACATTGAATGTTGACGAAACTGTTGATGAGTTGTTGATATATTTTTGATGTTTGGAGCCCCAAATATTTTGCAATCACTAAATGGACTAGCTTTAGCTAAACCTGTTTGTAGACGAATCTCAAGTTTGTGTCCCCAAATTAAGGTAGTGGCATCAGATTCAACATTTACAAAAGCCGATTTTGAAGGTAAATCTAATGAGCATATTTTGAAGAAGTTAAATGAATGGTTGGACAAATATGAAGCAGGAAGTGGCAGGAAGGAGTGAAGTTTGTGCAGTACGAATTGAACACAACATTCAACGAGGTATTGTGCAGAACGCCTAGTGAGATGGTCTTTGGCGAGAATCCGAAATGTGGTTTAGCTAGTTTCATGTCGAAAAATGTGTTCGACGATTTGATAACGGAAGAAGATTTTGTAACGGTTTTGACAAATAAAGATCCTATAGTTCCAAGACAGCTAAAATTGCGAGAGTCAATTGTGTTGCCAACAAATTTTATTAAGGTTGAACCAGGCGATGACAGTCAGACTGACATGGAACAAGATGAAGTGAAATTAAACGATCAAGTAATTGTTGCCTATTAAAACATAGCCAACCTTATAAATATTGTTACAAGAAAAATATTTTATGTGAATATTATAATCTTGATTAAAATTATTGTAATCATTAAAATGGTTTTATTGGCTAATAATTTGTTGGTTGGTTTTCAAAAACTATTCGGTAGATATCTAGGCAGGCAATAGGTAATTAAACGTTTTATAACGGTATGCCGCGTCGTAGGTATTCCTGGTAATGATGAATAATCGATATAAAAAACTATGATTATTTTAAAATACTTATATGTATATAATATGTGCAATAATATTTGATTTATTTGTTACCTACTGATGATGCATTAATCTGGTAGGTATGGTGGCCAGCAGATCAATCTAACTTTTTATGTCATTGTCTTCTATTACATGTTCAATTTTATGGTATTGACATAAAGTCGAAAATCTAATGAATAAATTTGAAATTTTGATGACCTGGTGAGTGTATTGTTGATCAAGTGGTCGCCAACATCACTGTCAAGTAAACAGGGTGTTAGGTTCTATGCCCGTGCTGGGCAAAGGATTATTGGGGATTTTTGGGTTTATCAAATCATTGTCAGCTCTTCCTACTAGTTTGCTTAGCGGACCTGGGTGTAAACTAATGTTGAATGTAAAGGTTACATTTATAAATCTGTAAGTTGATTCTGGAACAGCCTAAAATTCTTTATCCATTTTATACCTATTTCTCTTCTTATATGAGAGAACCTTAATAAAGTTTTAAAAGCCAAGCAATTAACACTCGTATCCCGGAAACAATAGAGTGCGAATCACGCAAAAAAAACTGTTTAAGACATGTAGGTAATCAGTGTGAGTGAAGTGCGCAAAAGTTCCGTTAATTCAAATGCACAGTACAGTCCTACATTTCATTCTCTGGCCGTGGGAACTTTCTACTAAGTCCCATCTTTGTTCTACCACCGATTTAATGTTGTATCTAATATTTTCCGCACTTACTGTAATTGCGAAATGATGATTATTACGTCTGTCTCTTCACCTGTTGATTACAGAGCGTAACGGAACGCAAGCTTCATTATTATTTTATTTAACGACATCTAGTGGTCAACGTCGTAAACTTTTACAACGCCATTTCCGCGGCGAGAAATAGGTGGCTTTTGTTGTTTTATCTTGTGCGTAGGTCAGGCTCTTCCACTAATTGTCGTTAAATAGGAGGACAAATAATTCTTTTAAAAATATTCCCATAGGAAATACCTATGTAAAGCTCATGTCAAGTTACTTACTTAGTTTTTTTTATTACTGTTGGTTTTTTCGTTTAATAAAAATTCTAATCATGTAAACTGAATATTCCAGGCACTTAGTAAACAGAGCTCTGAAGTCAGGTCCATGGCAGTCTTCGAGGCAAGGTCGAGGATTGCGGACGGTGGACCCTGCCATCATGAGGCGAGCGCTGCTTGACGCACACGCCGGTTACTCAGAGGGCGCGCCTACGCAAGGCAGCAATAGAACCGGTATGAATCATTTATATTTTTATTGTAATAGTTGTTGAAAGTTTGTAAGCTTGTAATTTGTTTCACGATAGGTACAGTGTAGCAAATGAGCAGACAGATATCTTGATGATAAGCAATTGGCACCGGCCACGGATACTCGCAACATAGGAGTTACAAGTGCGTTGCCGGCCTGTTAACGATTTAGGGATTTGAAGATTTAAACCCAAAAATACACATCAAGAGATATGTAGAAGTATTATCTGCACCTAAGATCATACCTAAATGCGAAAGTATGGATGGATGTTTCGTCCACAATTAGTTTTTTTTTTTAACGTTGCCCTAGGATACGTTACACTAGGATTTTCTCCTGTGTCGTGGGTGCGTTTACAAACATACAAGTTCACATACACATGACAACCAGACCCGAAATAACAAAGTGTTGTTCCGTGCGGGAATCGAACTCGCGACACGTTGCACGGCAGCCGGTTGCGCAGCCACCGCACCAACCATGCAGTCAGAAGTTGTGATAAAAATACGTCATAAAAAGACGTAGAACTTTTTGTTTGGAATATAGGCCAATTTTGATCCTCTTAACGCGAGCTAAACCTTGAGCAGAAGCTGTTAGTAAATAAATGATACTACAGAAACCTTGAAAGGTATCCGTTGACCTAAAGAAAACGATGTTTCAATTCTAGGTCGCTCCTCAAACCTGCCCGGACTATCGCCGGCGCCTACAAACTCGTGTGGCGGCACTAGATTATGTCGGACGAGGTACAACACTACCGCTCCTATGTACGGGGTGTCTCTAACTTCGGGTCAGCCTGTCACTATAGTGCAGAAATTCCCTGACTTACTGCAGCAAGTCGTCTTCGAGGTTTGCGAGTAAGTAACTTTTTTATTTATTTATTTAATTTAATATGCTTCATGCACAAAGTGTACATAAGGTGGACTTAAAGCCGCAGGCATTTTCTTCCAGTCTGACCTTTGGGTGATTTTCTGACTTTTGGATATTGTTTATGTTGGCTTAGCTACTAAACTACTTTTGATTTGGAATAATGACGAGAGCTCAGGTACTAAAATAGGTACCAGATAAAAATTGAAATTTGGGGCTACAGACGTGGACCCTTAATTAACTTTTAGTGCATTAAGTAACTAATTTAGAGTTATCTAAACTTTAGACCAAATACATAATTTTTATGACATCACTAGTTTTACCTAAGGAAGGCTATATGTGATTCAATAAAATATGTACGTGAATCAAAGTCAGCAATATTTAATTGTCTTTATTTTTACAGGTCAAGCGAATGCTCCCTAGTAAGGGGGACATGTTCACAAACGTACGTGCCCTACCTATTCTTGGTACTTCCACTCGGACCAGTGACGCTAACCGGTCAAGACTACGTGCTCGTAGAGTCTGGGTGTGTCTGCAGACCAGACCCGGTGCCATAGACACAGACTTAGACCATTCGCAATGAGAAACTATTAGAAAAAAATATCCGTCCAATAGACAATTTGCAAGATGGCTGCTGTTTCCCGCCATTTTTTTTGTAGTTGAAGTTTATTATTTATTTTTCGAGAGTTTTTTATGATTGTTGTGTTCTTGCTGCGTTTGAAATCTTGTCTTGGATTTTATTTTCGAATATTATTTGGAGAATCTCACAAAAAAACATAACATCACGCCTTTTATCCTCGATGGGGTAGGCAGAGGTGCACATTATACCACTGTACAATGTAACACCCACTTTTCACTATTTATGTTATGAGTCCCATGTAATAGGGGGTGAGCCTATTGCCATATACCGGGCACAGTTCCAGACTCCGTGCTACTACTGAGAATTTTTTTAAAACCCAGTAATACTTTGCCCGACCCGGGAATCGAACCCGAGACCCCTTACCTGGCAGTCGCAATTGCGACCACTCGGCCAACGAGGCATCTATTTTTCTTAGGTACACATTGGTGGATGATTTAGCACAATTTACTGTTTAAAATTGGGAAGACTAAAACTTTTACATAAATTATGTAATGTAGGTAAATTAATCTAAAATTCTTAAGACTATTGACGCATTTATTAGATTTTATATTGGTTAAAAAAGTATTTTATTATAGAGGTGACATTACTATTGATATTATAAAGGGTGCATTTATTCAACTGTAAAATCGCCGAAAAATTACAACTTATGATTATAATTTGTCGGCCATTTTTCATTAAAAGTTAACTTATTAAACAGACTGAATATTATTTTTATTTTTTTTGTTAATTTATTAAATATTTTTATTTATTCTATGTACCGTTGCTTGACGGAGGTATTTATAAATTAACGAATAGAGTTTATGAGAGAACTTATAAATGTGAATACATAATTTATTTTATTATAATTTTGTGAATTGCTCATGTTACGTTAGTTACGAACAACGAATGTATCAAAGATTTAATAAATTTTAATGGAAATTATTAAACCTGTTTTATTACAATTTGCACCGAAAATCTGTCAGCTAAAATAATTATTATAACAAGGATCAATTTATATTGAGTGTGATCCTAAATTTGGGCTATCTATCCAACGGAACTAAGATTTTTATAGCTTTAACATGGAGGTACCATGTTAAAGCTATAAAAATCTTAAAAATCTTTTTCCAACAAATGCATAATAACTAAATATAAGGAAAATAAGGAAATATTGTTAAATAATAGTAACTTTATTAACATTTAATAAGCTACATATTCTGGCATTCTTTTACACAATCACAATTTTTAACATTTCATTTTTATTGTAAAGGAAGATTAACAATATACAGCATGCACGAAAAAGGTGTAGTAGGCACATAATCTTTTAGTAAAAGTTTGCTTAAGTACCTACAATTAATGAGGAGATTCTTCGCTCAAACTTCCTTATTTAAATTTTAGCTATAACTCAAATACCTACTCATTGTCATCCATAACTTAATTTACGAGGCATAGAGTATCCACATACAGCTATATTATACACACTAACTAAGAATAAAAATGTCTACATTATCTATGCGATATTGGTTTGAATTACTAAAATATGACTCGATAATTTCAAACCAATTTGGGAAAACATCATTTTTTACTACCGGTCAAATATGGCTTGAGATCTGACCTTTAAAGTGTCTTTTTATTAATATTTTAACTTAAAACTCACAGTTGTTGCTGGTAAAATTCTTACAATTACCGTATATTACTTCACAATTTTACCGCTCTAAACAAAATCACCATGTATCTTCATCATGATGTTGTCAATTAAAAAATATCTTTTTTTTCTTATAATTTGATTCTAATTTCCCTAAACACAATAAATATGTAGACAAGTGTTTAACAGCTTATTGTTCGTAACGGTAGTACTGTTGTGGGGCAGCGTGTTGGGGTTGTGGTGGTTGTGGCCGGGGCTGGGCGTGGCCAGCGTGCTGTACTTGGGGCTGGAGAAGCTGGGGTTTGGGAGTGGGGATCTTCACTACGATGTCTGTGGGCTGTCTTGATACCTGTGACAAAATGATGGAGTCAGTAAATAATTAATAATAATAATGTTGAGTTATATGGTTGGGTCAAGGGCCTGATGCAGAAAGCAGTACTTCTGGACACGGCGCGTATTGTCCGGAAATTCCTTTCTCTGGAGCCCTGACCACCGGTAACTTGGATTTCTCCCGTTACTGGCGGGCTCCTAGTTTTTATATTTTTAAATGTTTTTTTTTTTATATAATCAAATATTTAAAAATATATAAGTCAAGTATATAAATAAATAAAGGAAATAATAATAATGTTGATACCAGAAATATCTAAAATTGTAAGTAGGTGATGTTGATTAGTCATTAGGGAGAATCTGTGTTTTACGTTACTATTGAGATAAATCTCAATCAGTTGACCAGACTGATCCAGGTATCTTAACAATACACTCCTTGTATCGAAGTCTAAAAGACAAATTAAGTACGTCAAATATCCCTAAAAGAAAATAGACAGGAAGATTGACTACGATAAGACAATGTGTTGACCAAGATCAAGTTAAGCACAATTTTAAGCATTGACTCATCGCAATAAGTAGGTAAGTCAGTGAAACTTAACAATTTCTAGTCAACAATTTAGTTTATGTAAGTACCTGCTTACATACGAAACAATAGCTCAACAATCAGGCTTGATTCTTCGTAAGTGGGTCGGCCAGAGGGCTTAGTACGAGTTTCTTTTTCGTTTAAAGTAATCGAAACGAAACCTCGTCCGGCGCTCTGATTGGTTGGTTCATTGGAGCCGGCCAATCATAGCGCCGAATGCGTACTCGTTTCGATTACTTTCAACGTAAAACAAAGTCGTACTAAGGCCTCTGATCTTTAATGCGATTAAATAATGCCGACTAAGTGTACCCCTGGCCTAGTTTGGGTGGTTTCATATTGGTCTAATCGTTTGATTTGTTATTTTGTGAAACAGTTATCTAGATACCTTTTATAAGATTTGTCTTGTTAAAAATTTGTCCTTTATAAAGATTATAAGGTACTTCATTTCTGAGATAAATGTGCAAAGTTGCGCTTCTCTTGGACCAGTCCAGTATATGAACCAAAGGTTTATTAGGTTAACTTTTAGCAGTCCATACATACAGCTTGCCTTTAGGTTACTTTCTACTCGTATCATTTTTTTAAATTTACCATTTTAAATAAAATCATCCTGTACCTATCTTCAACATGATGTGTCATGTATAGGTAATGTTTTACTCATTATAAACAGGTTACAGGTCTTTTAACTGTCAAACACCGCGCGGTCACCGGTGACGGCAATCTATTGTTCTCTAATTGTGTCTATAATGACGGTACTCAAAGAGTTAATCATATTATTATGTCCTTACCTCAGCCTTGAAACCCTCCTTAGGGTCAGCAGTGTAGGTGACTGTCCTGACGAAGCCATCGCTGTCGACCACGGAGTAGGAGCCCTTGATGACGTCACCGTCTCTCTGTTCCTTACGGTTCTGGTAGTTGGTGTACTGGTCGTCGTTCACATCGAAACCAAACTGGTAAGAAGGATGAGGCTGGAAGTAAAGTGGATGATTAGTTATGCAGTTTAACCCAATATCTAAGTGTTCTTAGATAATTTTCTAATCTCCATACAAAGAGATTTGTGGCAGAGATAAAATATTGTTCGATGTAAATCTAGATAGGTAGGTACTTGACTTAGTATTACATATTGCAAAAATGCCAATAGTTCAATGTCATATAAGTTCATCTTAAGCAGGTACATTTACCTAGAATTTTAAAATCTCCTTGAATGAATTATTATGTCTTCTACTTGGTTTAAATTAAAACTGGACCCGGAACACGGAATTACTAAGCTAAGAGATCGTTTTGGTAGCGATTGCATCAACCGAAGTGGCTGAATCTACATCTCATCTACTACCAGTACTTATCTACATTGCTATGTATCTAAGTCCTAATTTATGTTGACTTTGTGTGCTATAAAAGTGACTGATCTGAATACATATTACTTAGAGCATTCATGTTGTGTTTGCATGTGTGTTTAAAATTTAAAAATAGCCTATACTTTACTTTAAATACACTCTTAGTTACTTTTAACAAATTGAACATTCCGAATTATGTAATTTGTTTTATAGCGCATCAAAAGATTGAAACTATTAATTGCACTATAACTAAAGAAAGTTAGACACTATTGGCTATCGTAAATTGATCTCACGCAGCGAACGAGCACTGTAACTTACAGCCTGGCCACGGAAATTCGCGACAGCGATAAGTTAATAGAAATGTACCTAGCTACAATCGACAAATAATCATGACTCCCTTAACTAAAAATCGCGGATTGCTCACGTGAATATACTGAGAAAAGTTCTACTAGTTTCGAACCACAGAGGAGTTCTTCCTCATGAGCAGTGTGTGCGGTCGCGGCGATGTCGCGCAGTTTCGACAGAACAGACTCCGATTACTACGATAGTTATTATAAAAACAATCATGCCTCCCGTTTGTCGATATCATCAGTCCATGACAGAACACTACTATGAACTTCCCCTTTCACCTTTGGTTTGTCTGACAAATGTGTATTCGCAGTTAGAGATAAGGGTACTGAAAAATGTAGCAAGAATTCAACTCTGCCTTCAATTAACATCAAAAAAAGTTTATGGTAGGTCATAATTGTAACCAGTCGATTGTACTAAGGTACGCCTTTCGCTGTCGCTGCCTCCGACTCCCGTGGCTGAACCGTAAAGCGCTTTATCAAGCCGTATACTGGTTCTAAGTGAAAGTTGCAGCCGACCGTATTCCTGCACTTGTTAATTTGATCCATCCGTGTTGCTATACGTTGGACATTGTATCGTTATAAGGAAACGACATGAACTAGGTTGGATTTATTCCGGCTTCATTTTACGTTCGGAATTGTGTTAGGTCGTTTTATGTAACTTTATGATTGTACTTGAAGGTAGAGAAAGGTACTGAGCCTAGCTTAACTGACTGATCATATTAAGTTTTTATTTGTGTATAACCCATAGACATTGTCTTGCCTATGATTTGACTAAAGTCAGGTAAGAAACACTGGCTTACTGTCCCTAACCCAAAATAATTTGCTTTATTTTTAACCTTAGGTACGATCCAGGACTCAGAAATCAGCAAGCGATGCCAGTAGGTACAGTGGTAAACTATCCTACTTTTAATTTATTATTACACTGTCATGCCTATACCGTTAAATTTAAAACAAAATAAAGTACGCAGCTGGCTAACGACTTTTTCTATTTTCTTGTCTAACCTAGATAGTCTACGTTGCATTTTATTTCCCAAAAATTGCAATGCAGACATTATTTCCATTAAAAAATTACTAATTGTCGTTTTCGTTGTGTTATGAGATGGTTTACACAATATTTAGAAGTAAATTCAATTAATTGTTGAAGTAATTTTACGTGGGTGCAATAGTTTTATTAATATAGAGCTCTCTCTTAGAAAGGTAGTTTAATTTAAGATGGTTTATAAATCTACTTTACAATATTTCCGATACTACAGAATGTATAGAAGGTATTCACAATTTTTTTGTCACCATAACTATAGATAATTTTTTTCATGGCTACTAAACTTGAAAGTTACAGATGCATAGGGGCAAAATCATCGAATGACTGCCCCCGCCTGGGTGAGGCGGGAGGGAGTGTCAGACTCTTACTGACTAAAAACCACCCCGTTCCTACTCCTGCACTTCGAGCCGGAGCCCCGGTAACCCGTTAGGTTATCCGCGACACCGTATCGGCATCAGCCCTATTGGGCCCTTACCCGTGGTGGTCTAATGGCTGCATAATGGATACTAGGGCACTCATTATGTTTTAAATCCACAAAAAAGATTATGTGTCTGTCATACACCAGTACTTTTGCCTCTTTGCAATTTGCTTCATGATACCGAGTCCTCGGTTAACCAGCTTCATTGTAATTTGAACATTAACTTCCAACTCTTAAATAACAAAATCAACTTACATCATATTCCTCTGGCTCGCGCTGTTCCTGCTGCCTCTGGGGCTGGTATTGGGGCTGGTGCTGCGGCTGCCTGTACTGCTGCTGTGGCTGTGGCTGGTATTGGGGCTGTGGCTGGTATTGGGCCTCGCTTTGGACCGTGTATAGTTGTTGGGGAGCCTGGAAATGAAGGGTGAACTAATTCATTAACGACTTCTTGCAGGTTCTTGTTTTTACCTAACAATAAAGTTTAAATTGCAACATAGAATTTTTGTTGCGTTTCGAGAAGAAACTGCAAACTATGTCTTCATATTTTTAAGATTGTAATAAAATCTCGTTTTATACGTGGAATTTGAAAACGCTGTAGCTTATGTTCTCTTGCAGTTGGTCTGTAACCAGTTGTTGTTACCTAATTATTATATTGACTGTTAGGCAGAAATATATGTGAAATAAATAGATTATCTTACGGGTCTGGGCACTGCTTGCTGTACGTGTTGGGGTCTGGGGATGACTTGTGTTTGCGCGACCGCCGGCGCCGCACCGTGTTGGTCGGCGAGGTACTGTCTCAGGAGATGTGGGTCATATCCTCCAGCCTGCTGACAAATTGGGAAGGTCGGGGTTTAGTTATATGGTACAAATTGCAAATGTAAAATAGGGTGTGGTTCCATGATGGTAACTAAGTACCTATTAAGAAAATGTCTATGTGTAATAACTCGAACATGCACTGAAACGATGATGATAATTAATAATGAATTAGATAATGTTATTGTTTAAATATTTTAATAAATGGTACTCGTAACCAACCACCAACCCTTATGGTATGGTAGTAGAAGGACCGAATTCAAAATACCCTGAACCGACGAGCAAGCATGAACAAACTGATGACTGTTGATGGAGCGAAAGAGTGTGAGACAGGCGTGAGGTTATGTATGTATGGTACTCGTAACTAAACTAGCTTAATGATAGAATGACAATAAAAGTGAATAACTTTTAGGAATTCCTAACAGAGATCCTAAAAAGTCAAATTTTGTCGAACTCAGAAACCAATTGTTAGTGTCATAAGGTTTATTATTGGCTGCAGATCAATATTACAGTTACAGATTTCAAACCTCTATTCTCTAATTATGATACACGATACACTTAAAGTCACATAACAGTCATAACAGCAACCAACAAAGCACATCCAATTAAGTCCAGACGAGGCCCAATTTGATGCTGTTACATCGGCATCCATTAGAAAAATAAGCGACTATTAAATACCAAGCAACCATTCGTGATTATCAGTGCGATCAAGTGATTATGTAACGCTAATCCAATTATCTCGTGATCCACTAAAGTTACGAAACTTTAAAAAGTATAACAAGTAATAAAAGTGTAATGGAGTGCGCCCTGTTAGGACGCGGTTGATTGACGCGTAATTTTTATGCAGAAAATTTTACGAGACTTAATAATAATTAATGAAAGACATTATGTGGGTTTTACTAAGGGATCTGGATTATAAAGGGTTGAATCAAAACTATCATGATAGAATTGTTATCTAATTAATGTCAATAGGGTTCATTGGCATGTAACACAAGATTAAAATATTTCACTCTTCTTTTATTGATGTCCCAAATTATTTACACTCTTTGGTGGTTGAAAAAAGTATTTACTCAATAAAAAGCTACAGAAAGGAACCTGTCACTAGTCAATTTTCTACTTTATATCGACGCTTCAAGTGCGAGGAAATTAAAATGAAACAAATGAACTGTATAATGAATTTCCGACGAGGAAGCGCGTGTCTTGTCACGATTTTTTCGTGCAAATGATCGCAGCCTAACGTTTCGCTCGATTCGTCGTGTGTTGCCAAAAACACGTGTGTCCATACATTAAAGTTGTGCAAAAACCGATGTTAATTTTTCCGGTCTGTTTGCACTCATTATTTTGCTCGGTGAAGCAATACGGTCACAATACATGTGTTGCGACTTCATCGAAATAGCGGACGTACTACTTTTGCATTAAGATTGATTTCTACTTTTTTATTGTTGTTTTCAAATTGTTTATTATCGTTCCGTTGCATGTCATAATAAAGTTTATCGCACGTCACATAATCACGCTAAGAATTTATAATTGTTACATGACTTTGTTGCTAAACATTTCTTTTTAATAAGCCATTGAAATAAAGCGTCGTAAGAAGGTAATTTTTAACAAGTCTTTATTTTACACATAATGATGAATATTAAAAGGTGACCTAACAAACGAAAGTAAAATGGAAATGTAAACAAAAGAAGAAGATTACAATCAATGAATAGACAGTCCTTGACCCAGTTTGCTTAAAAGAATGAATAGTGAACACTTTCTTAAGTTCATGAGTGAAGAATAATTGATGACTTCAACATACAGATCTATTTTGAAATGACTAGTTTTTGCTTTTAACTATTCACAAAAACACTAAAAATGTGAGATAACTATGAGTAAAAAAAATAGGAAATGGGCCCTAAAATAACAATAGGGTAACTGCTTTCTCGAAGGCGAGATATAAATATATATTTTTTTAATTGAATAAATTAACCTTATTTCATTAAAAGGCGCTTACGTGAGTATTATATATCAACAACTCTATCACAATTTCGTTTAATTTTAATTTCGATAAATAAAATATTTTTCAAACTTCTAGCGTACAACAATGGCATTGGGACCCCTTCTAAACCGCGGTTAATCTACAATATTATCTTACCCAGCGTAAAGCGTGCAAATAGATTTTCGATAACCTTTCCATTGACCATGTGCTTATTGTAGCTATTATGATTTTATCACTGTTACATTCGTCTATTCGTAGCGCAACTTAAAGTAAAATTTGTGGTATAGTGCAGAATTTAAGTTTTGCTTTAAATTTTAAAGGAAAATTAATTAAAATTAGAACGTTTTAAAACGCAATGGTTTTAAATTTTGCATAACAGAATCATAAGAATATTTTTTTTCCTATTAAACGCTAAAATTTTGACCAGTCATAGTCTCATAGGGTCGCAAGATAAACATCTAACATAATATAACATCACGCCTTTTATCCTCGAAGGGGTAGGCAGAGGTGCACATTATACCACTGTACAATGTAACACCCACTTTTCATTATTTATGTTGAGTCCAATGTAATAGGGGGTGAGCCTATTGCCATATACTGGGCACAATTCCAGACTCCGTGCTATTACTGAGAATTTTTTTTAAACCCATTAATACTTTGCCCGACTCGGGAATCGAACCCGAGACCCCTCGCACTTGCGACCACTCGGCCAACGAGGCAGATAAAAATCACTCTGAATTTAATCCTTTAAAATCTGTTAATGACAATTATTTTATTTACAATACAACACACATTATGTATGAACATGGGAGACTACAGCTTAATCTCGCAGGCAAACTTTATATTTAATTGGTTTACCATTTCAAGAATAAACAATTTAAAAGATAACGTTGTAAAATGAAGCTTAACGACTAAAATAAAAGATTGCATATTACAAATGAAGTATGTAGCCTAAATAACATAGTGTTTGTAATCTTGATGCAATTGAGGCGCGGGATAACGCAATCTTAACAATAGGTTACAAGGCCTACAGTTCTCAACGGTGAGACACAACTGACATTAAGGTTAATCCTAAGTGCTACAATTAATATAGAGAATGAAATATTGCTTGTATTTTCTGAAGAATAAAATAGTAAGTAGGTAGCAAATGCTTCATAATTATCTTAATCATACTAATTTCAAATTTTTATTATGAAATAGAGATTTTTATTCAAATTATCTTTTTCATTTAGAAATTAAATGATTTAAAATTCGATATTTTTTCAGTATATTTATCATGGAATGATATTTCAACAAATAGGCTGTATACCTAATAGCACTTTTACACGTCAATATTATAATTAAGGGTCTGTTTTACAATATCTGGATAGCCGTTATCTACCAGATAAATTTGAACTAAGAACGTAATTTGTATAAACTATCTGTCATATACGTTTATCAGGTACTTATATGGAGGTAGTGAAAGCGGCGCTAAGTATTATTTAAGTTATTATTATTAATATTGTCGTAGGTCGAGGGAAAATCGTGAGCTGGAATCATAAGATGTGATATTCTATTGTTTCAGTCTAAATTAGTGTTTCTAGGCACATACGTGAGGTTAAAGGTCTATGAAGTTAATTGGGACCTAAGAATGAATAGAATTTCAAAAGCTTTTAGAAGCAAATATTCATATAATCGTTTCAAAGATTTTTATTTAAAAATTTAAATGAGGTATTCATTTAAATTTTCATATAATCAATATATTCATCTCTTTTTTGGAAAATAAATTAATGAATTACATAAGAGTATAATAGAATATTTTCTTTTATTATTCTTTATTAATTGTCAACCCTTAGGAAGACAAAAATAAAAATCACAGCCCTTAAAAAATTAAAAAAAGAACTCACTTGTTGATGCTGAGGTTGGTATTGGTGTTGGGGGGCGGGAACCGCGAAAACACACCCCAATACTGCCAACGTAACGCACTGACGTAACATGTTGCACTCACAAAAAATATTTATTAAAAAAAATAGAATTGTATACAGCCACTGCACACGCGACGTATTTACGTAGGTATTATGCGATGCGTGTAAGTAACTGTGACTATATATAGGGGCACCCCTTCTAGCTCGTAGGTGGTAAAGGCGGGAGTAGTATGGCCAAATACATGTATGTGTGTGTGATTCGAAATTTAAATTGGAGCATCGGTTTTTGAGTGTGCAGTTTGAGCTTTTGTTTTTTTTTATAAAAAAGAACGTTGTTCGAAAAAAATATTTATAAATGTTTTTTTTTTATTTCTGTATTTGGACTTGTGAGGTTATAGATTTTATGGAAAAAAAACAAAACACAATAAATAGTCTTTATTTTCTTTCCTCTCCTTGGGGAAAAAGGCATTATGCAGAGCAGATTATGCACTTTTGTATTTAAAAATGTTTTGAGCCCAGAAACTGTTGGCACATTTAAGTTTACATACATAACATCACGCCTTTTATCCCCGAAGGGGTAGGCAGAGGTGCACATGCCACTGTACAATGTAACACCTAATTTTCACTATTTATGTTATGAGTCCTGTGTTATAGGGGGTGAGCCGATTGCCATATACCGGGCACAATTCCAGACTCCGTGGTACTACTGAGATTTTTTTTAAAAACATTTAACTTTCTTCCTATCCATATATCTTTACCTGTTATGTAATTATCTATTACAACTTGTAGGTACAATATTTATAGTTGCAATAAGAACGATGCCCTCTGAAATAATTTGCATACTAGTTCTCATGGCGCCTGATTTGCCAGGCAGCGTAATAAATTACTTTCCTCTTATGATAGCGTAGACATTGTACTACGTCTAACTAAAACTAACTTGATTTTTGCACCTCAACTTTTACCATCGATATTTGCACGTCTGAAGGTGCAAATAGAAAGGTTTTAAAGGACAGAAAAATTGTTTTTCTTTTAAAAAAAATGTTACCCAACACCAGGATTTTCTTCTGTGTCATGGGTGCATTTACAAACATACAAGTTTACATACACATGACACTCAGACCCGAAACAAAAATTTGTGGATCACACAAAGAGTATGTACGTGAATTGAACCCGCTACAATCAGTGCAGTCAAACTGTACGTGAGTATATTTTGAATTTTTTTCTGTTATCTGGTCAGATCAAGATTTTTTCAGGACGATAGAGTGCAGCAGCTGCTCCCTCTATCTCAAATGTGTTTCTTATGATACCCACGAAAAAATTTAAAAAGTAAGAATTGAAGAAGTTAGAAGTAGGTAGTCTCTACCTTCTTACAAATCTTATCATATTAGTATGGGAAATCTTTTTAATAACTGTCGACTGCATGCATATATTACCTTACGGCTGTCTGCCTGTCTCCTATAGGGGTAGGCAGAGACTGCGGAACGCCAATTGTTACGATTCTTACATACCTCTTTCGCTTCATCAACAGTCATCAGTCTTTTGGTGGTTAAGGGTACTTTTAATTTGGCCCTTCTTTAATAAATTGATTTGTTGATGCGAAATAGATGATGTAGATACAGGATCTTACAGTCGTGTCTGGCGCTCACGGCTTCGATATCCTGTTTGGTAACTAAACTTACAATAGTTTGTCACTAATATATTGAAAGCGTGCTCAATATTGTGACTTTTGACTTGAAATATAACTCTATGTATAGAAAAGCTTTCAGGGCCGTGATACTTTTTCTTTTTCATTGTCACTTAACTATCAAATGTAATATTATGTGAAAGAAAAACAGTTTAGTTGCACCGTTACTATATTAAAAAAAAGTAAGAAAAACAGTTTAAAAAAAACCAGAACGGTGCAAAAAGGCCAGGCCAAATTTATCAGACGGCTCCTAATTTCTCCTTATTTTTTCGGTTGTTTATATTATTTGTGTATTTTTCTCTAATCCCATAAAAGTAAGATATTTGAATCCCTTCGTCTAAGTACCTTATAGATTTCTGAAAAACATCTTTTACTAGACAAATTTGAAAGATTGGTTTTATTTTAATACTTACTTAGGTACTTCGAAAACTCAAATTTCTTTTAAGCCTGGTCTAGTTATTGACCTCTCATTATCATCCACTAAGACAAAAGAACAAAGCTCTTAACTCTAAAAATAATGTGATTGTGAATAAAATAAAAATGTCCTGCAGATATTACTATAACAGAAGAAATATTCCATCCTTAATTTGTTTGTTTGAGGACCGATAGTAAAAATCTCTCACCACTTTCTTTTCAGGTCGGAAAATAGGGTAGTTTTTATTTCGGTATTTTAACAAAATCCAAGAGTAATGTTTCATCGTCCACGAACCAGAAGCCCCATCCTCCCCCTCCCTTAAAGGTAGGTAACGCACTTGTAACCCTTCTGGTGCTCTTGCTGACCGATTGCTTACCATCAGGATCACCTGATCACCGCCTGCCACCTGATGCATATGGTGATCCAGAAGATCGTTTGCCGGCTTAAACCATAGCAAAAATACTCACAAGTGAAGCTGCAGGCGATAAGCTAGTTTACCAATAATATAATAGTTGAATAGGTCTGTAATAGTGCATTGTATTAGGCGCGTGGCCTTGCACCGATGTTAATGTCAATGCACTCTCATGTACAAAATATCAGTTATTGCTCAACACTGCAAATGCGTTCACTTTGAGTTTTATTTTATTTTATCTGTGTATAAATGTGTGTGACATATGACATATCTGATCTAAGGAGGTAGTTAGTATACTTTATAGAAGTAACCTTATTTTTTTTACCTTTGATTTTAAAAATGAAAAGGAGGTACTTTGATCTGTATGTAGGTAATGTGGTTTTCAGAAAAGTATATTAATTAATCAACTTCGAAAAAGAGGGGGTTGAAGTCGGTTTTTTTAAATTTAGTTTATAAATTAATTATCTGGTAGTAGTTCGGTTTTCAAAGTCTCGACATTATAGTTATTGTGTAGTGTAGAATTATGAGTATATTTATTTAAAGGGATTGGTAACATAAGTAGCTAAAAGTTTACCTAAATTAGGACTTAGATTAATTTCATTAACTCTATAGAGAAATAATGAAACATAGATTGGCTTTGGCCAATTTCTTAAAATTTTCTTTTACCATTTACACTTACCGGTCGTTCTTGCAACTGCTACGTCAGCGAGACAGTTCAGCATTTTTTCACATTACGTAAGATGACTGATACAAGTTAATATTGTAACATACACTGATACTGGA